CCCCTTAAAAAACGACTTCGATACCTTCCTGGTGGCTTCAGATACCCCCCATAGCCGAAATCCCTTCAAAAACTACCTAAATACCTTCCCTAATAGCTTTAGATACCCCCCTAGCCGAAATCCCTTCAAAAACTACCTACATACCTTCCTGGTGGCTTCAGATACCCCCATAGCCGAAATCCCCTTCAAAAACTACCTACATACCTTCCTGGTGGCTTCAGATACCCTCATAGCCGAAATCCCCTTAAAAAACGACCTCGATACCTTCCTGGTGGCTTCAGATACCCCCCATAGCCGAAATCCCTTTAAAAAACTACCTAAATACCTTCCTGGTGGCTTCAGATACCCCCCATAGCCGAAATCCCTTCAAAAACTACCTAAATACCTTCCTAATGGCTTTAGATACCTCCCCTAGCCGAAATCCTTCAAAAACTACCTAAATACCTTCCTAATGGCTTTAGATACCTCCCCTAGCCGAAATCCCTTCAAAAACTACCTAAATACCTTCCTAATGGCTTTAGATACCTCCCCTAGCCGAAATCCCTTCAAAAACTACCTAAATACCTTCCTGGTGGCTTAGATACCCCCCATAGCCAGAAATCCCTTCAAAACTACCTAAATACCTTCCTAATGGCTTAGATACCTCCCCTAGCCGAAATCCCCTTCAAAAACTACCTAAATACCTTCCTAATGGCTTTAGATACCTCCCCAGCTGAAATCCCTTCAAAACTACCTAAATACCTTCCTAATGGCTTTAGATACCTCCCTAGCCGAAATCCCTTCAAAAACTACCTAAATACCTTCCTAATGGCTTTAGATACCCCCTAGCCGAAATCCTTCAAAAACTACCTAAATACCTTCCTGGTGGCTTAGATACCCCCATAGCCGAAATCCCTTCAAAAACTACCTAAATACCTTCCTAATGGCTTTAGATACCTCCCCTAGCCGAAATCCCTTCAAAAACTACCTAAATACCTTCCTAATGGCTTTAGATACCTCCCCTAGCCGAAATCCCTTCAAAAACTACCTAAATACCTTCCTAATGGCTTTAGATACCTCCCCTAGCCGAAATCCCCTTCAAAAACTACCTAAATACCTTCCTGGTGGCTTCAGATACCCCCCATAGCCGAAATCCCTTCAAAAACTACCTAAATACCTTCCTAATGGCTTTAGATACCTCCCCTAGCTGAAATCCTTCAAAAACTACCTAAATACCTTCCTAATGGCTTTAGATACCTCCCCTAGCCGAAATCCCTTCAAAAACTACCTAAATACCTTCCTAATGGCTTTAGATACCTCCCTAGCCGAAATCCTTCAAAAACTACCTAAATACCTTCCTGGTGGCTTCAGATACCCCCATAGCCGAAATCCCTTCAAAAACTACCTAAATACCTTCCCTAATGGCTTTAGATACCTCCCCTAGCCGAAATCCCTTCAAAAACTACCTAAATACCTTCCTAATGGCTTTAGATACCTCCCCTAGCCGAAATCCCTTCAAAAACTACCTACATACCTTCCTGGTGGCTTCAGATACCCCCATAGCCGAAATCCCTTTAAAAAACTACCTAAATACCTTCCTAATGGCTTTAGATACCTCCCCTAGCCGAAATCCCTTCAAAAACTACCTAAATACCTTCCTAATGGCTTTAGATACCTCCCCTAGCCGAAATCCCCTTCAAAAACTACCTAAATACCTTCCTAATGGCTTTAGATACCTCCCCTAGCCGAAATCCCTTCAAAAACTACCTAAATACCTTCCTAATGGCTTTAGATACCTCCCCTAGCCAGAAATCCTTCAAAAACTACCTAAATACCTTCCTAATGGCTTTAGATACCTCCCCTAGCCGAAATCCCTTCAAAAACTACCTAAATACCTTCCTGGTGGCTTCAGATACCCCCCATAGCCGAAATCCCTTCAAAAACTACCTAAATACCTTCCTAATGGCTTTAGATACCTCCCCTAGCCGAAATCCCCTTCAAAAACTACCTAAATACCTTCCTGGTGGCTTCAGATACCCCCCATAGCCGAAATCCCTTCAAAAACTACCTAAATACCTTCCTAATGGCTTTAGATACCTCCCTAGACGAAATCCCTTCCAAAAACTACCTAAATACCTTCCTAATGGCTTTAGATACCTCCCCTAGCCGAAATCCCTTCAAAACTACCTAAATACCTTCCTGGTGGCTTCCAGATACCCCCATAGCCGAAATCCCTTCAAAAACTACCTAAATACCTTCCTAATGGCTTTAGATACCTCCCCTAGCCGAAATCCCTTCAAAAACTACCTAAATACCTTCCTAATGGCTTTAGATACCTCCCCTAGCCGAAATCCCTTCAAAAACTACCTAAATACCTTCCTGGTGGCTTCAGATACCCCCCATAGCCGAAATCCTTCAAAAACTACCTAAATACCTTCCTAATGGCTTTAGATACCTCCCCTAGCCGAAATCCCTTCAAAAACTACCTAAATACCTTCCTAATGGCTTTAGATACCTCCCCTAGCCGAAATCCCTTCAAAAACTACCTAAATACCTTCCTAATGGCTTTAGATACCTCCCTAGCCAGAAATCCCTTCAAAAACTACCTAAATACCTTCCTAATGGCTTTAGATACCTCCTAGCCGAAATCCCTTCAAAAACTACCTAAATACCCTTCCCTAATGGCTTTAGATACCTCCCTAGTCGAAATCCCTTCAAAAACTACCTAAAAACCTTCCTAATGGCTTTAGATACCTCCCCTAGCCGAAATCCCCTTCAAAAACTACCTACATACCTTCCTGGTGGCTTCAGATACCCCCATAGCCGAAATCCCTTTAAAAAACTACCTAAATACCTTCCTAATGGCTTTAGATACCTCCCCTAGCCGAAATCCCTTCAAAAACTACCAATACCCTTCCTAATGGCTTTAGATACCTCCCTAGCCGAAATCCCTTCAAAAACTACCTAAATACCTTCCTAATGGCTTTAGATACCTCCCCTAGCCGAAATCCCCTTCAAAAACTACCTACATACCTTCCTGGTGGCTTCAGATACCCCCCATAGCCGAAATCCCCTTCAAAAACTACCTAAATACCTTCCCGATGGCTTCAGATACCCGCCATAGACGAAACCCCCGGAAAAAACTACTTAGATTCCATCCCGACACTTTAAATGATTTAAATAACGAATTAACATAATTAAAACATATTAAAAAGTATTAAAGTAACTCAAAAAGGCATCTGGGCGCGGGAAGGGCCTTGGGGAAGAGGGGCGAAGAGAAAGGGGGCGTGGCCTCCCGGGGAGAGGGCCCCCAATCGTTTTATTAAGGCGCCACTTTCAAAGTTAATTATTTTTATTTAAACGAAAACTTTTTCATAATTTTTTGACCATTTAAGGGGTTTCTGACCGCGCTCTATCCGAATCCGAGGAGAGCGAAGCTCTAGCTCCTTTCCCCTTCGAGTTATAGTTGGCTTCAGACGGACGGACGGACGGACACCACAGCAAAATTATTATAGTTGATTAATCTTGAGTTCGAAGTTCACGATAAAATTCTGTCATAAATGTTTAAAAAAGTAAAAAAAGTTTATCAAAAAGAAGTTGTGCCAATTAAAGAGCTCCAATTATTTGGATCCTAAGTCCAGCTGAAACACATTAAAAAAATGGTTTTAAATGTGTTAAAAAAATAGCGAGGTTTTTTAATTTCGTGTCCAAATCAGCCTGCTTAATAAAGTAACAAATCTATCTTATTTTTTTATTGGCAGTTTAACAATTATAAATTTTATAAGTCGACTTGAAGAAGATGCGATCCGGAACGATTTCGATTAGCAGCTGGAAATGCTTTGGAAATCGAAGTTTTGTCGGAACATATAATTTTAACAAATTAAAAATGGCATTTCCAAATAAAGAATACTTTCTCAGTTTTTGAAGTAATCTAAAAAAAGCCTCCATCGATTTTTTTATAGCTGCGAATGCCCGTCGAAATTCGGCTACTCGGCGGCACCGGATGGGAAGAGCTGCCGCCGGTTGAGGAGACGCTTAAAGGTATTAGAAAATTCATGGAAGTTTCAAAATAATATAAATAATAATAATAATAAGACACAGGACAATGTATAAAGACAATGTTTATCTATTTAAACCCTTTACCTTGAATCGAAAGACAAGCTTAACTGGAAAAACGATGTTTCACCTAGGTGAGAAGTTCAGGGCAACTTATGACGGGTAATCTCGCCTTTGTTTCTTGTAAAAGAACTTTAGGACGAATTTATTTTGTAATAATTTCAACGCGTTAAAAATTAGAAAAATGAGCTTACAACTTTTTTTTTGGAAAAATTTGTTTCGGAAATGCCCAGCGAGCCTCGCAAATTAATTGAGGTAATGTGAGCAATTTTCGGATGTACAAATACAAACACGGAATCAATCTTTCTGCGTTTTTAAATCTTTAATTTCTGAATTATTGTTTTATTTATTTTAAAACGTAGGACTACGATAATGAAAATCTTAAAGTTGAAGACTTAAATCTTGCCGAAAAAGGCTAATTTTTTCACGAGAAAAAGTGCGTTTCATGAAAGTTAGGTCCACATTACAAATTACGTTGAGCAGTATTCGGGTGTGATCGGCATAAATCTTTTTTTTAAAGTAAAAAAAGTCAAAAAGTAGAGCTTCAAAAAATAACTCGTTTGCTGCAAAATTATTTTTATCAATTTTAAGCGCATTTCGATTACCTAAAATAGATTATAAATAGCCAAAAATATTCACACTTTAAAACGGTATTTTCATTTTTGGAAAAATTGTGTTTCGCAAAAATTAGTAGAGTTTGGCGAGGTCAATAGATTAATCCTCTCCAGTTATGAGCATGGGACTTACTCGTTTCTTTTTCTCCGCATTTAAAATTGTAAATTCAATTAAATTTGGATTTATCTAGAGTTAAATTATGAATTGTATTATAAATTTTAATATTCTATCTCGAAAATTACTTTAGAAATTGTAGAAATACCTAACTTTCCTTTTTACTTTCAGGAAAAATGCACGAGCGACCTGGAGTGCTCGGCGGCGTTCTCGGAATGTGCCACCGGCGGCTGCAGGTATTTTTAGGCGATTTAAATGTCGTAAAATAGACGACAAAATTTCTTTATTTTTCTTTTTAAACCATTTTAAAATTCTGCTATATAAAAATTGGTGATATTTTCAAAATTGATTATGGGATTTAAGGAGGCAATTTGGGTTTTCCCTCTCAGGCCCAGCCGTAAAATTTGAGGTTTCAAAAATCGACAGAGTCAAAAAGCCGACGAATCGGTCAATAACTGCCACGTTTAATCCTCAATTTGACATTTTTTATTTTTCATTGCAGAACCTCATTTAAATGGTGGCCATTTTATCAAAAGTCCGGTTCTGGACCGTTAGCCGGGGGAACCAATCAATCAAATATTATTTCCCCGTAATTCCGTACGGCCTTATAACGCAAGATCAATAATTTTGTAGCATTTTACACAAGTTTTACATATAAACAGATTTATATAACTTTTAACAATTCGCAAAATTTTTCCTTTCTTGAAAATTCAAAATCCAAAAAATTTCCGAGACGGGTAACATTTCTGAAATCTCAGAATTTTCAGAATATTGTTATGACTATGTGGCCATCGAAATGAACTAAAAACGCTACCTAGTAGTTTCTATAGCTCGTTGAAAGCTAAAATTCTATGTTTCAAAAAGCGCCAATACCGGGTACCGTCTTGAGTTTTGGGTTACATACATACTGTTTCAACCACCACAACCATCCCAGAATCCTCAATTAGGCATTTTTTTATTCCCTTATGTTTTTTGTGAAAATTCCAGTCAATCTTGGCACCGTAAAAATTAAATGTTCCGGAAAATGATGATACCAGAAAAATTTTGAACGTGCTAATTCCTTAGAGGCTGCTATCCTTCCTAAAATGCGGTTAAAAGCCACGAAATTAGTTCTTGCGCTTCGGCCACCTTCATATTCTCTGGCAATTAAAATGTTTCAAAGAAGCATAAACTTTCGCAAAATTTGTGACATCGAATTAGAGGTAGAAATAAGCCATTGGATAGGAAAAACAGCATAAAAATTTCAGATGCAAACCCGGGTTCCAGCGCGACGGTGACGGCGGCTGCAAACCGATCAGTAAGTGGCATATCGGCTGTATTTTAGAATTTTAGAAGATTGATTTTAGCACTTTTCTATTACGATTATAGGATTAAAGATTTGCCGTATGAATAAAAATTAAAGATTTGATAATTTGGGGTAAAGGTGTTTTTTTTGCAACATTTCATTTATTTGAATGGTTTCTGATATTTCAATTTGGTAAATTTTTGTAAATAATTTGTTGAAGCATCCAGTAAATATTCATAGATTCGTAAGATATTTATAAAATCGACCAAAAACATTTAAAATTATGATTAGCTAAATTTTCGGAAAATGTTTTAATTATGGAAGATTTTAAAATTTGCTGCTAAACGCAAAAATTACAGTAACCCAGTGAACAATTTTAACACTATTGTTATTAAGATTATGGGATTAAAGTTACCATTTGGCCGGGTGAAAAAAATTAAAAGTTTCATAATTTGGTGGCAAAGGTGTTTTTTTGCATCATCTTATTAGCATATGGATAATCGGCAGAATTGATTTATTTGAAGGGGTTCGAACTATTTTCCAAGTTTCTAAGATTTTGTTCTCCTATAAATAAAGTATAATAATATTAATTCAAACCTTTAATAATTATTGATAGATTTCATAATATATTTATTAAAGACATTAAAAATTCGGGGAAAACGAAGCATTGGAATTCTCAATTAATAAGTCCGATTTGACTGAATTTAGCTATATTTTTGAAACATTTTAATTGAATTGCGGCTTAGTTTGAATTGGTACTGAACGCGGAAGATTACGGTAATCAAGTGAACGCGGAACCCAATAGGATCCTCAAAAAAAAAAATGATATTTTGCGTGTAATTTTTGAAACTCCCAATTTCAATGTTTCGTAACGTAGTAGTTTCATCGAATTAATTGTTTCTGGGCGTTAAAGCTATTCAATCCGGCTAAGCTAATGTTTTGCTGGATTTTTTTGATGAAGCTAAAACGGCCAATTTTGGTATTTTTAGATCCTGGACGAGCTTCTAATAATCAGCAGCGAAAAATCTTTTGCTTATCTTTTTTGAAACATAAAAATTTTATCTTCATAAATCCAATCTTAAAAGTGTCGGAATTCATAGAAAAGATTTGTCGATTTTCGTTTCTCATACCTGGATTAATTATTTGGGTTTCGCCGTTCCGGTTCAGCTGGTTTTTTAAAACATTTTTATTTAACTACAGCGTCCGTGAGCCTACCAAAATTTTCTCAGAAATAACACTACCGGTGTAATTTTGAAACATATCAAAGTAACTTTTCGTAGGTTAGGAATTTGACCCTATCAAGTGAAATTACGGGGCTTTAAGACTATCCCATCCGGAAACTATCTTTTGCTGGCTTTTTTGTTGATGCTAAAACCGGCAATTTTAAAGTACTATGCTAAAACTGGACGTACTGTACCACAAAAATACACCTAATAATCAGCATCGAAAATTCTTTTGGTTTTCTTTTTTGAAACGTAAAAATCTCATCTTCGTAAATCCAATCTTCAAAAGTCGGCGAAATCAAAGAAAAATGGGTAGATTTTCGTTTCTCATACCTGGATTGATTATTTGGGTTTTGCCGTTCCGGTGAAGGTACATTCTCAAAACATTTTAATTTAATGGCAGTCTATTTTAAATATTGCTGCTAAACCCAGGAGATTGCAGTAATGATAATGACCTAATTACATCCTCCCAGAAATGACGCTACCGGTCTAATTTTGATAATATAGCAATTTAATTGTTCGGAGCCACTAAACTTCCAAGGATTATTGGCACATCGCGTGGCTTTATTATAAGCAATCCCGAAACTATCTTTTGCTGGATTTTGTTGACGAAGCCAAACGGGCCATTTTAAAGTAGCTAAAACTGAAAGTACTACGAAACACTTGAATTTAAAAATGAAATCAAATTAAATTTTTTGTTTAGCTTTTTTGAAACATAAAAATCTCATCTTCGCACGTCCAATCTTACAACGTTTAAAATTAAAAATCACTAATTTTTGAAGAGCGATTAGGTTTAGTAAGGAATATTTTGAAGAATTTGAAGCGATAACCAGAAAATTGCAGTCGAACCAAACAAACCAAAAGAAGAGCGGAACATTAGGTTCTCCAAAAAACTAGTTTTTTATGTGAAGCTGAAACATTTTAATGTAATTTTTGCCGCCTGGATTTCTTAAAACTACTGCCAAATCGCGTGACTTTATTATAACCCATTCTGAAACCATTTTTTGCTGGATTTATTTGATAGAAGTCAAACGGGTAATTTGGGCATTTTTAGGTTTTTTTGGTCTCCCAGTTTTCTCATTAATACTCCGCGCTAGAAAAAAGCCGTTAGTGTACCTTTTTGGAACATTTTTTTATCCTGGAAGTATCTTGTTTAGAATACCAATGCGTCGGAGGGCAATCACCGCTGATGAAACGCGACAAGCTGGTCACCTGCTCGCTGCAACAGGTTAGAGAGCCAGCGAGAGAGAGAGAGAGAGAGCGAGCGAGAGAGAGAGAGAGAGAGAGAGAGAGAGAGAGCGAGGGAACGAGAGAGAGAGAGAGAGTGAGAGAGAGAAGGGAGAGAGAGAGAGAGAGAGAGAGAGAGAGAGAGAGAGAGAGAGAGAGAGATAGAGAGAGCTAGAGGGAGAGAGAGAGAGAGAGAGAGGGAGAGAGTCACAGAGTGACAGAGTAAGAGAGAGAGAAAGAGATCGAATTTTTTCATTTTAGGCCCGATTCTCGCGCCTCCGAAAGCTTGACAACGACACGGAAATTCGAGGGCCCAGTTCCGGAAAACCCGGAAGAAAACGGCGCCCAACCGGACGGGTACCAAATTATGGACGGTAAGCTGATGCTCAGGCTAAATTTAATTCTTTTGAAATAATTGTAAAAAGTAGTGTCACAAGACGTCCAAAAACAATTAAACTATTTTTTCAGGGCCAGATGTTTCTTTTTTCTAGGGGATATCCGAAACGATTTTTAAATTAATAGCGGTATTTTAATAGTGTTTTAGTAAAATTTAACGACATTTCAAATGCAGGAGTGCCTGAAAAACCTTAAACATCAAAATTTTCGAAATTTTCGTCGGCAAATCGATGTTCTTAGAATCGGTAAATCGAGTCGAGTGCTAAACAAAATTCGTAAAGTTTGACGCCTCGGAAAAGTAGCAACGGGTTAGAAGCCGAGAAAACTTTCAGTCCGATAACGCGAAAACGGAATGAACTTAATTTTTGCTAATTATAACGAATTTGCGGTGAAATCCAAATTTATTTCTGGTAGAAAGATCTTTGAAAACATGTGTTAAATCACAAATTTTTGTGATTTGTTTTCTATGCCGGTATTTTGAAAAATGTGTTTCAATCAAAACTAAAAATACCACGTTTGTCACCACGTTGATGTGTTTGTTTCTTCGACATCTACCTACTATATTTTTATCGCAAAATCCACACTATTGTAGGTTTAACAAAAACCAAGGTTTCAAAACAACTGCGATTCTTTGAAAAGGAATTAATGTTTCTAATTAAAACGAATTTGTCGAGCAATTCAAATTGCTTTTCTAGCCGAAAAGTCTTTGAAGACATGTGTTACAAAGAAAATTTACGATAAGTGATCCGATCTTCGTCCAAAAAGTTTTTTCTTCTGTAAATATGTTTCAGCTAAAATTAAAAAAAATAAAAATGCGGAAAATCCTAATTCGGTTGGCTGACCTGATTTTCCTTGCTTTTTCCAGTAACCGCAAGCCCCGCCGGAGCCAATTCCACACAATTTGCTGACGTCCAAGACACCTGCGATTTTGGGCACTATTGCGTGGCCGTTTTTGACGACCCGCAGAAGCCCGGGTATTATCAGGTGGGCCACAAACTACAAGAAATTCGAAAAACTATAAAACGAAGCGTCTAGACCAATTTTTTTTCAATATCGGGGTTTTTTTTAATTTTTTAGCCCAAAAATTATTAAACTCTTAATAAGTTTTGAAAAGCTGATAGGAATGTGATGTAAAAAGGTCCTGTATTTCCCGAAAAACCCAGATTTTTAGGGATTCTGCTGCCCGAATCCGACGCCCCGCGAGCCGGTCTGCCCCGTCGGAGAGCCCCACTCCAGCAGTCAGGTAATTTTCCGGAAACGATCTCTGCTAGCCTGCCTCGACCTTCCGAAATTGGTCCCAAATGATCTCTGCTAGCCTGCCCGAATTTCAAACATTTCTAAATTCTGTGTTTCACAAAATTCCGATTTGAAGCGACTGGCAAAATCAATAATCATCGATTGATGATAAGATGATATGCATATCCCTCGTCCAAAACTCGTTCCGCAGGGGCTCGCTGCTAGCTTGCCCACTAGTAAATTCCTCACATTTTTATTGCTCATCTTTCAAAACGAAATTTTTAAAATGTTTTGCAAAGTGTTTCGACTCACAGAACTATTAAAATAAAAATGTTACACAACGTTGGGGATGCAAGAGTACTCAGAAACGTATGGTTATACGCTTCGATTCACCTTTGAATTTTTGCAAATAATCTCTGCTAGCCTGCCCTTCAAATCCCTAGCATCTTTATTGCTTATAGCGTTCAAAAACCCCTATTCAAAACTCCACAAAATTTTCCAAACAAATTCCTTAAAATGGAAGTGTTGCATAAAATATCGAATGGGCGACATTTCAGAAACCGCCAATCCTTCGTTGAAGACGCGTCTTTTAATTCTAGATTTTCCCAAATAATCTCTGCTAGCCTGCCCTCGATTTAATGCAATCTTTATAAAATTAGATCGCCAAAAATTTGCCATTAAATGTTTCAAAAAGCAAACTAGTATCGTTGCACAAAAATTACTTAATGCTCGACTTCGTATTTCCTCAATCTACCCTAGATCCTTTTTAAAAATGCCTAAAAACAATGATACAAACTTGTCAAATTTTTTACAAGCATATAAAAACTATTAAAAAAAAATTCCAGATGCCCTCCTACGGGTGTGCCGGATGCCCGGACGACCACTACTGCCATCGGGATACGGTATCCACCGAGAAAGAGGTAGGTTTTATTAACTTTAAAAATTCCTCAAATGATCTCTGCTAGCCTGCTTTAATATTAAAATTTTAGGCAGCTTTTAAAGGAGCGTGCAAGGCCAAATTTAGGGGATTTATAGGTCGAACCAGGGAAAAAACTTGGGATGATATTAGGCCGGCTACAGTCCTTTTTGACATTGATATTTCTTGAAACATGAAATTTTTCAAGGTTCAGAATTTATTTTTATTCTTTGAAGAAATCGCTCGAGCTTTTTGGCCCAATTCCTCAAATGCTCACTGCTAGTCTGCCCGCGACAGAAAATTCTTGGAAAAACGGCTTAAAAACTGTTTCATTCTTTTTAGTCTGGAAGAGGAGACAATGGTCGCATTATCCTGCTCGGCCGGGTTTTTACCTTCCTATTCCTTGAAACACCAAATTTTCGCAGGTTTTGCGATATACTGGAATCGAAGGCCTATTTTTAGCTTTTGGCCAGATTTCCCAAAAGTGTCCTGCTCGGCTGCCTCGCAAAAATAAATTCAGTGAAAATTTGAACTAGAGAAATGTTTCGCTTTTTTAGTACATAGCAGAGTAGCGCATTGGACGCTAATTGAACGTTTCTCTTTTTCCTAAATAACCGTGGAACGGAAAAATGCGTTTAAATAGCACTTTTTATATAAAATTGATTAAGCCTTTTCTTTGGCCAACAATTCAAAGTTTAATTCGAATATCCGTACTAACCAAAATCAATAAATCGGTTTGAAAGGATTACACTGTTGACTTGACCATTTTTTGGAATCAACTTTATTGAAACACAATTTTTTCGGGTTCGAAATCGATTTTTTTTTTATGAAAAGTCCCCAACCGAAAGCTTATTCAAATTTAAAATTTTTAACTGTTTGGGACTCTGCCAGGCTAAATTTAGAGATTTGAATTGTGAAGGCTAAATTCAGGACCAAGCAAGGGTTTGGGGTTTTTTAAGACCACGACGCTTGATGACCTAATTAACTCTCCAAAAAATTTTTGGACATTGTATATTGCTGAAACATGACAATTTTCAATTTGAAAAATGAAAACTGCTACTAATTTAATTAGGACTTAATTAATTAATTTAATTTAATTTATAATTTAATTTAATCCCTATTTTGCGTTAAATAATTATATATAAGGAAATAATAGTCGAGATTAGTTTAAAGGGGATTTAGGACAAGAAAGGCAAATGGATCTGATCGACTACCTCCAAGAAAAATTTTTGAATGGCGCAATGCTGAAACATAAAAACTTGCCAGTTTTTCGCTCAAAAAATCGCGAAATTCACCCTTGGCAAACCCGGGCAAGCTAGCAGAGAGCGTTTAGGAGCTCTGAAATTTTCTTAATATTCACTTTACTAAAATTTAATAATTATTAAAACCTTGATAGACGTTTTACGATTTTTATTTGTTTATAAAATTCATCGAATTTTTATTGAAAATCATGTCTATAGATTTGAGAATTTTCTGATTTTGTAAGAATATTTAAAAACTTTTAATTGACGTATTTAAATTCAGATCTGCTGCCCAAAACCGTGCGTCTCCCTTGAAGACCTCTACTTCGACGGCCAGTGCTACCCGATGGCCTATAATGGCGATTCTTGCTTTGTCAGTTTTTTAACGGAGTTTTTAGCTTTTTTCCATTGTTTAAATTCTCGTATGATACAAGATCATTAAAGTTAGAAAATCCAACATCGGCAGGAAAATTTTTGAAACACTTATATTCATTTTTATATACAAAATATTTTGCTTTTCTGGGCACATGTAACCGTATATTTATTATTAAAATAATTTTTCCTTGTTATTACCGAAAACAAATTTCGGAATACATTTTTCGAAAAACCCAATTTTATAAAACTTCTTTTTTTGCATATTCTCGGCTATATTAAAAATCTTATTATTATAAGTTTATAAGTCTCGAGCTCCTTATTCGCATTAATTCTATTAATATTTGTATAAAAAAATTAAAAACCTTCAAACTTTAGGTGGACGAGCAATGCGTCTCGCAACCCGCCCAGAATACCCAGGATTCGAGTGAGACTGCTAAATTACGCTGTCTACAGGTGAGCAGAATTTTTAAAAAGAGGAAACATTCATTTTAGATTTTTTAGTTTGAATTAACTAAATAGTTTTCCTCCTTAATTTAATCGTTTTACCCACCGTTTTTGTCAATAATGGTGGCACAAATCCCGAATTAAATGCTTGGAGTTAAAATTTGTCATTTGAAATTGCAAAACATTTATTTTTGATTTTATCTGGGGATTTTTAGAGCATCTGCGCCTGTCCGCCCGGCTTTTCCTACACGGATGGCGAGTGCAAAAGTATAAAAATAACATAAAAACACGCATTAATGGTTTTTAGGGATTGAATGCCGCGTTGGGCTACGTGGGGAACCGGCTGTGGATCGCCTCGGAAATTTGATCAGGTAATTCTATCTTTGCTGCGATTCCTCAAAGGATCTCTGCTAGCCTGCCCCCCCCCCTCTCTCTCATCCCAAATGATCTCTGCTAGCCTGCCCCCCTCTCACCCAAATGATCTCTGCTAGCCTGCCCCCCCCCCTCATCCCAAATGACTGCTAGCCTGCCCCCTCCCCCCTCTCTCATCCCAAATGATCTCTGCTAGCCTGCCCCCCCCCCCCTCTCTCATCCCAAATGATCTCTGCTAGCATGCCCTTTATTAGAAGGAATTCCAGGCTAACAATATCGGTAATTACCGAGTAATAAGTTTTGATCGGTGCCTTTTCGACGAAACATTTTTAATGATAGTTGAACGTTAAGTTTAGTGTCACAGTCCCTTTAAAATCGTTGCTAGCCTGCGTCCTCTCATACATCGATTTTTCATCGATTTTCAGATGCGCTCGTTCCTCGGACTGTAGCCAGGGTTCGATCTGCGACCCGACCGGACGCGTTTGCTGCAAAGGGATGAATCGTGAGTTTCATCCTGAAACGACATTTCTGTCAAAAATATCCAATTAATATACGCGTGTCTGTTTCTAGTCTAATCCAATCTGTCCGCCTCGCCGCCGTGTAAACGGGCCGTAACCAATTAGGCTATGAAAAGGCGGGCCGAAGCGTTGCGTGTCGCTGCTCGATAAAATCTAGGAAAATATACCCGATATTTTTAAAACTCAATTTTCCTAGGTTGCCCCGCCGGCCACGTGGAGACCGGCGAGTCTTGCGGCCTGGCCTCCCCATGCTCGTCGATCGACGACATTTGCCACAAGACGATCAAGGGCATCAGAATGTGCTGCCGGCCGGAGGCGTGATTTTCTAGGACTGCTAAAAACTGAGAAAAACCAATATTTTCTGTATATAAATGCCAACTAAATAAATTATAAAAAATACAAATCTATATGCCGGCCGGATACGCGATTTTCTAAACATTAAAACGAAAAATGTTGTAAACGCTTCCTCAAAATAAACTTAAAAATTCTCAATGAATTTTTAAAAGTTTTAAAAGCTAATGAATGCATTTAAAAACCGAATGTAATTTTCTAAAAATTAAAGTAAAGAATGGGCCAAAAATTAGAATTCACTTAAAACTCAAATAAGTTTTTAAAAGCTAGAAAAGACAATAATCCCAGTATATGAACAACAAATAAATAAGCTTTAAATAAAACTCACAAACCAATACATTTACCATCTTTATTACCGTAATTTTACAAAAAAAAACACTCGCACATAAAAACACAGAAGAAAAGGAATAGATCGGATGATGTTGTTGTTGGTTTTTTGATGAGGAATTAATCGAGAATAGCTGGTTTTGCAAAAAAAAGAGAAGGAAAAGAGAGAGAGAGAGAGAGAGAGAGAGAGAGAGAGAGAGAGAGAGAGAGAGAGAGAGCGCGCAGAGACAATTTGTGGAAGCCAGGAAAAAAACTACGCATACGTACAACCGGGCGGGAGTGGAGCCAAAAAATCGTATTATCCAAAAACCGAAAAATCGTAGAAAGCTGCCCTTATTAAAATTAATTAAAAGAATACACATTGCACAATGGAATGGGCACAAAAATTCGAGCTTTTTACCGCTAATTTCTTATTAAGTCAGTTTTCAAAAATTTTAAAAATTAGGGCATTTTTAAATTCAAATTTTTCTATTTTTTAAGGGGGCTGGACCCGGGGGAATGGCTTGGAAATGAAATGAAATGGGGAGACAATCACAAGTAGTAGTGCGACGGAAAATCAGCAAAAATTTCAGGAATTTAATTTTTCAATTAAATTAAAGAATCTACGTTAATTCAAGAATCGGATGCTCATCTTCTCCTCAATGTCCGTCTTCTCCATGGCGCGGCAGAACTCGTCGAACGAGATCCGGCCGTCGTGGTCGCCGTCCGCCTCTTCGATGGTCCGGTCGGCGATTTTGTCGAGCTGAAAAACAAAGGGTATCTGCTAGTTTGCCAAGGGGAATTTTCCGAAATGGTCTCTGCCAGCTCCCCCTAGTTTTGAGCAAGTTTCCTAAATTGTCTCTGCCAGCTTGCCCTAGCTTTCAGGGATTTTCCAAAACGGTCTCCGCTCGATTGCCCTAGCTCTTAGGTATTTTCCGAAATGGTCTGCGCTAGGCCTCACAGACCATCAAGATTTTTCCTAAATGATCTTTGCTACCCTTCCCCCGAAAATCTTCCTAAACATTCTCTGCTACCCTGCCCCGAAAATCTTCCTAAATGTTCTCTGCTAGATCTCCCAGATTTTAAGAATTTTCCCAAACGATCTCTGCTAGTTTCCCTCTATGCTTCGTAACGTAAGTGCCCTAAATAGTCCCTGCTACATTGCCCTAGTTCTCAAGAAAAAAGAAATTTTCTTAAACGACCGCTGCTAGCTCACCCCGAAATTTTTTTCCACATAATCTCTGCTAGCTCGCCCTGGCCTCAGCTAGGAAAAATTGCTTGGTGCTCAAATTCCTAAATGCTCCCCGCTAGCTGGCCCAGATCGATAATGGAATCGTATACGGCAAATAACTGCCCTCCAAAATGACCTCTACAAGTCACCCAAAACCGAAACATTTTTATTTACCTGTTCGGGCGTGATGTTGGCGCCGACCATGGAGTTGAGGATCACCTTGAACTCCTCGCGCGTGATGTACCCGTTCTTGTTCAGGTCGTACATTTGGAAGGCGACTGAAAAAAAAGTGTAATTACGTTAATAGACTAATTACGTAACTGATAATTCCTGAAAATTGCAAAAATCAATGGGAACAGTTTTAAAAATCTGATTCCATTTTCTAGAAAATTGTAAAAATACATAATTAATCTAATTTCTTAAAAAAGCAAAAAGACGTCGTTTTAATCATAAAATTAAATTACGCTGTTAAATCTCAAAAACGCACATTTCAGCTTGTCCCTGCGGCCGTTGAGCACGTTCTTCTTGCCGCGGTTGATCGGCTGGAAGTGGGCGAGGATGCGGACGAACTGGCGGAAGTTCAGCTTCTGCTCGTTGTCGCCACTGAAACGGATTTTTTTGACGTTTTAATCGAAATTTTTTCTTTATTTGTGCTATTTATTCGTTTAAAGCACGTTTTTGGCTCGATACCGGGGTTTCGTGAAGGGAAAATCAACAATTTTTAGTGTTTTGCGCTGATTTTAGTTCTATAAAACCCCGAAAAACTGCGAAATCTCGAAAATCGTTGAAATCCTGAACAAAAATTGATGAAAATTAATAAAACGTCGAAATTCTAATTTTTTTAACCCCAAAAACATTTTCGTCAGATTTTTTTTCACCGGATGTTAAAAACGAAAAACTCACGCCAACGTGAAGAAAGCGTCAACGATGCGGTCGCCCAACGGGTTGACGGCCAACTCGGGCACGTTCAGGAAATCGTCGCGTTCCAAGTATCCTTGTCCTGAAAAATCGCCAAAAATTGCCATATCGATAGAAAAAAATACCTTTCTTATCGAGGGACAAGAACCGGGAGTAGAGCCGCACGATTTGGTTTCGATTGACTAAAAAGGGGATTTGAATTTAGGGAAACTTTCTCACATTCGGTCTCCTTGGAGATTTCGTCAATCTCCTCGTCGCGCAGCATTAAGGACGAGCTGTTTCCCATGGCTTTTGTATATCTGGAATTGAGACAATAATTTGATGAAGAGGACGAGGAAATCATAAAATTGAAGAAACAACGGGGAACCAGAAAAACGAGTTTTAGACCTAGTTTTAAAATCTATGTTTCATATTTATGCTACTCCAGGAACTTTTGTCAAAACGCAGTGTTAGGTCAATAAGCTCAATAAAAAAATTCAATAGTTCAAAAACGCGAAGAAACACGTAAAATAGCTATTTTCAATGTTTTAAGATAAAAAAAACCAGCGCGAAATGATATAATCAAATGCGTAAAACCTCGTGCTCCCTAGCGATCACTTTCAATCGATGCCTCCCCGTCCGCTGACTCCGGGCAGATTATCAACCCGCAAAAACCGGCCGACAAACAGGTATTTGGGGGAAGGGGAGAGAGTGGGGACAACGTGGAGGGGCCAGACAGAAGGCTAGACAAAAATATGAATTGATTCGGCCCGACAGCCAGCTGGAACGAAGAGAACAATGTAAACCGCCAAATCACCATCGTAACACCCGGGGTTCTAGAAGTTTTGGAATAAAGGAAAAGCCGCTAGACAAAACCGAAAAACTCGTTTTTCAAGGTTCCGGGTGACGAATTTCTTGCAAGTGAGTCATCAATAAAATGCGGAATCGGCTGTCACCTTGAACTCCTAAAAAGCACAAAGCGTAAAAAACCTCTGCTAGCTTGCCCGAAATTGTCGTCAAAAAATTCGTAAACGTTCTTTGCTAAATAGCCCCCATATTTTTCAAGCTGCAAAAATGTAGATTTTTCTAAAAAAGCTGGAAACTTGAATTTTCCAATCTCTACTAGCTTGCCTTTCAGCGACTTCCTAAATTTCCTAAAAATTCCGTGCTAGTGGTCTTGTATTAGCAATATCTGGAAAAGCACAAAATTCTTGTTTCTTGCTTCATTACCTAAAATTACAAAATCTAGTAAAACAGGGATACTAAAAGAATTTTTCAATTGAAATTAGCTAATTTTATCTCTGAAAGGGTCGATTCCAAGAAAATGACGTGCCCAGACCATCGGCGGCCGCTATTGATTGAACGGGGGCGAAAGTGCAGGTCATAAAAATAACATACCCACCGGATGGCCCCCAAATAGACTTTGCCCCCTCCCCCACCTTGAGAAAGTCATGAGAAGGAAAGCGATAAGCAGGTGAATCCAAGAATAACTGAACGCCTTGGAATATAAAGAACAGCCGCCGAGATTGGCCACCGATAGTTGTCAACATGGAGGGCACTAAAAAATGATGGTGGCGCGATTTGTGAGCGAAAGAGAGAGAGAGAGAGAGAGAGAGAGAGAGAGAGAGAGAGAGAGAGAGTGGGAGCGAGCGAGAGAGATCGACAAGAAGTTACAAAAGACCTGGAAATGAATCAATTCCTCTATACAACCAGTTTCGCCTACTACACTAGTCTAGCGCGATGATGGATGCGGCTACTCCCCCACACCGAATGACGCGCTTGCGCAAATAGTAGGGTTTTTACTGGGGCGGCGCGAGGAGTGTTTTGGTGGTGGAAAAGTGCGCGAGGGCCTCCGAAATGATATACTTTTCATTATGAAGCTTCGCGGAACACGTGAGTTTTCTAAAAATGCGAAGAAATACATAAGAGATCACACTTTACGGTTTCGAGCCCTTGAGTTCTGAAATTTATGGTGATCAGGTTTTGATTCTAAGTTTCTAAAAAAGGTGGAAAACCCGGAAAAGCATTTTTTTTTTTCTCAAACAAAAACTAACGCATTTTGGAGCACCGGAAACTAGAAAAACGCTAGAATTCAGCCAATCCGGTACAAAAAAAGGGTCTCTCTCGGCGTCTAAAAATTTTAGTCTTGAAAAGACTAAAATAACCTCGTTTTCCTACGTCTACACGCCCTATCCTAGCCCTCATAACCTCGAGACGCGCGGGGGTCCTTATGTGGTCAAGGCCAGGGCGATCGGGCTCAAAATGAAGGTCAATCCTGGAAGTAGTAGTAATACCAGCAAAATCTGAGCACCTCCCGGACTGCAAAATTCCCAAGGAACCGTGAGCTCTCAACCGGCTCGCCCCTCCATCCGCACCAGCGCAACACGGCCGACACAACCAGGGCGGATTGACCAGGAAATTAGGCTCGGCTGAGCTAGGTGCGCTCGAAATTCGCGTTTAGCTGAAGAAGGAGCAAGAACCGGCCCCAGAAAGTCTAAAAAACCCGGCACTACTTTTACGTTCTAACTGTATTTTTCTGCAATAAAAACTACTATTTTGACAGACACAACGCGGAAAAATATATAAATTAGTTTGCCACTGCTAGCAGGCTAGTACAAAAACACCGACACCGCACTAACTTACAGTTACAAAATTATTAACGTTTTCCGGATGCAACATAACATTTTAATCCGAAAAAAATCTCTACGCAGGATTTCGTAGTCAGTTGATTAATAATACATATTATTTTAAACTGATTAAATTATTACTATTATTATTATTATCTAATATGATTTAAAAATATATATGGATTTCCAGTGTTTACGGGCGGAAAGCTAGCCGTTTTTAAGTTAAAAATGTGGACAATATGTAGAATTATTTATTCGCAACCTAAAAACCAACAAACCCAACAAAAAATTTTGGGAAAATCAACATAACAAGAAAACGAAGCGAAGAATTTGACACGTATTTGGGCAGCAAAAAAAAACAAGTTCAACAAAACAAAAGAAAAGAAAATTGGGGAAAAATATTTTACAAGAGGCCTTATTTATGCCCGGGGTCGTTTTGTCGATTCGGGTTGTAGCGGGGCATCGAGGCCGAGCTGGGTTCCGCGACCTGAAAGTGAAAAATCAGAGGTCTTTTTTAAAAAAATTACCTCTTCCGAATCATCCTCATGCTCCTCTTCAGAACCTGATGCTCCGCTCGCCTCGCTCTCCGAATCGTCACTAAAATGAAACTTGGAAAAGAAGTAGGTTCATTCGAATTATCGCTACGAGGAAACCGTTTGAAATCCTGTTGTTTTTATCTAGAAAAATTGATTAAAAATACAAAAAAATCGAATTTTTCGATTTGCGCGCATATTCGGCTTTCTAAACATTTTTCTACGTCTTCTGAATAGCTTTCTAATTGAAAATAGCTACAGAACAATGAAAGCGCTAAAAATATACAAAAAAAAATCGATTTTTCGAACAAAACCAGTATATATGTAACCTATTTAGAAATCAAAAATAAACAAAAATACCTAGGCGGCAACATGTCATCGTCGATCCAGTTCGACGATTCGCCCTCGTTTGTCGTCGTGGCGGCGGCCCTTTTCGAATCCCTCGTTATCAGCACGGCGTACGATTCGAATCTAAAGGAAAATTTGTCGAAAAAATTTATAAATTTACCTGGCCGGCCACAGCTTTTGCTCCCACATGTTCAAGATGTTGTCCTCGTCCAAGACGTGCTCGATCTCGGCTTTTACCTAATTTTAGGGTTTAAAAATGTCGAATTCTCGGCTTAGAATGAAAAGAAAACCCACTTTATCCCCCTCCTCGATCGGCTGCAAGACGACAAACTGATCCCGGAGCACCCAGACGGTCCGCCGAAACTTGGCCGGCATCGACGCCAGGTAGATGTCCCCGTTTTCGTCTTCTACCTGAAAACATTAAAAATAATATAGCCATCTAGCCTAGAGCGATACCTCGTGCAAATTATTCCCCCGCGATTCGCATATCCGCGCAATTTTGTCGCCCTCCTTCAGCTCCAGGTACTCGGTGTCGCATTTGTTCTGGACGAACCGCCGTTTTGTGGCCACTGACATGAGGCTGAAATGAAAAACTATGCTTTTAGCGTATTTTAAACTGATAAAAAGAAATCCGGCAACTTTATTTTTAATTTTTTCGCGTAAAGATCATGTATTGAACGATTGTCAAGCCACTATTATGATTTCTAAGGTGTAAAGTTAAATTTTCAATGTATTTTTAACTCAAAAAGCATGCTTTAAAAGATTTTAAGCCTAAAAGTTTATTTTTAGTTTTATTTCGCAAAGATCACTGGATCTCGCGAATTTGCGATTGTCAAGCGCGCGCAGAGAGCCATTGTGCATAGTAGCACATCGTACAGCAACAAAATGAAGGTTTCAAAAAATTTTTAGCTTCAGAAATTAAAGTTTTACTTTCTCGAAAATTAAAAGAAATTATAGTTTAGGATAAATTAACCGCTTTTCAGATGTTGCGATGCTTTCCCAAGGTCGGGCGCCTTTTTACGAGCCTGCAAAAGGCCCGGCTACTTTCTGCAGGCAAGTCAAACATTTTCTTTGTCATTTTCAGTTTCGATTTCGATTCTAAACTTTATTTTTAGCCCCGCATCAGCAGCAGCCCAGCACATCGGCCGCTGAGCTGCCCTCACCGAGCTTCTTACGTCAGAATGTGAAAACGGAGCGGCAAAAGGAGAAGCTTGCGCAACTGGTGGCCGAGATGCAGGTAAAGCGCTAAATTATTCATTTTTATCTATTTTTTATCTAGATGCTCCGCGAATTCTTTGGCGGAGGAGATTTACGCGAATTTACGGACGATGACTGGGAGGCGCTGCTGGAGATGCGATATTCAAGTAAAAAAGAAAAGCAAGTATTTTACTTTTTTCAGATGAACGCGCCGACTATCTTTTATCGATGAGAAGCGTGGAAAAAGAAGAGACGCAAGCGGAAATGGAGAAAGAGGATGAAAAGGTGGATTAGTGATGATAGAATGATCAAAACAAGATTTTTATAGATTTCCGTCCTGAATCAACGAAAATACGACGCCGGGGAGATGGTGTACGCCCGGCATTTCAACGAGTACATCGAGCTGTATGGGCAGGATTTTAGAAGTAGGTTTTTCACTAAATTGTTATAGTTATAACGTTACTAGGAATATTTTTAGGGTTGAAACGAATTTTTTACATAGATTTCATGATTTTCAAGGGGTTTTTTTATACTCTGCCATACCCCCAGGGGGTATACCCCCCATGGGGGTACAAAAGGGGTACGAGGTGGGGGTACAAAGGGGGTACGGGGTGGGGGTACTACTACGAAACTTGAACTAAACATTTTTTAAATTTTTGTGATTTTTTCCAGTTAAAATGTCTATGTCTGAATTTTACTAAAAACATTATTGAAATTCTTACTATAAAGTTCCCAGGGGTTTCTGGGTTTATTTCAAAAAGATTAGTCCCCCGATAAACTTTCAACTTACAAAAATGTTTAGTTCAAATTAGGTGTTTTATTAACTGCGTTGATACAATTCCAGCTGACTTCGTCATTTCTTGTTGTATTTTTGCGAGCCACCGACATGTGGTATGTGTGGGAGGTCGCTCAAGAAAAATTTGCTGGGGGCTGCTGGGGGGGGGGGTACCCCCCCATTTGTACCCCCACCCGTACCCCCTTAGTACCCCCACCCCGTACCCCCTTTGTACCCCCATGGGGGGTATACCCCCTGGGGGTATGGCAGAGTATAGTTTTTTTGCTTTCAAACGATTTTTACGGAAAAATTTTGATGCTAAAATACTTTTTTTGCATATTTGAATAGTAAAAGCCGTTGTTTATGATTTTTTCATTAAAACAGATTTTACTGCATTATTTAAGACCTTTTAATACAAATGAATTAACTTTTAATATAACTTTAAAACTCATTTTTCTTCTAGATTTCATCGAAAACACGCACGGAGCGCGGATATTATCGCGAGAACGACTCGACGAGGCGATACAACTTTTGGTGGACTGCCGATACGTACCAAGATATCCGCTCCGGATGCAGAGACGCTTGATTGAGTAGGATAAAGCGGAAAAAATAAAGATTTCTATGTTTTTAGGAATTTCCAAACGCTCTACGAAAAGAACTGGGCAAGCCGGGAGCCGTTTCGGATCAGTTTCGCCAATTTCCGGCCGGATCAGCAGTGCGCGGCTTTGATGAAAAGGTGCGTTTGAACGGGTTTTTCTAAGTTTCGAGGTTAGAATTTGAAATCTTGCTTTGGGAAAAATTCGAAAATCGCATTGTCTGAAACTTTGCTTCGGGCTACGAACGAAAACACCATACGGTTGACAAAAAGCAATGCGGATTTCTAAAAAAAGCGAGCTTCGAGAAATTAATTTTTTGCCGAAAAAGGAACTCGGAATTTTCGAATTTACGAAAATGGCCGTTTCGGCGAAATTGCTTTAGACTTTTGCTACCCTTATGGATTTGGCCGCGACACGCAACGCGCGTCGCCCCCCCTCAGCCGCCATTGGCTAATCGTAATCGATTACGCAATAGGAAGCGGATGTGCGCGGTGCGGTAAATTGTCATTGCCAAAAAATTATTTTGAGAACAGGGTTCGATTAGCATGGGAAAAAATTTGGTCGGCCGCCCGGAGGTGGTCAACCAGCCTGGAGGTGGTCAAAAAAGCCTAAAAAATTTTGCGCCCGCTACGCGGCCAGTAATCGACTCTGCTGTACGAAATCATTGAAGAAGGCAACGAGTCAGGGCTCCCGGGTTCGAATCCCCGCCGCAACCTTTTTTTGCTTTTTGGAAAATATAGAACGGAATTACGGGAGAATCCATCGGGAAGCCATCTGGAAGGTTTAAAATGCAGAATGGGTCCGGGGGGTAAGTAGAAACTGACGAGTCAAGGGTCCCTGGCTCGAATCCCCGCCGCGACAAATTTTTTGCTTTTTGAAAAATATCGATCGGAATCGCTAGAGAATGGATCAGGAAGGCCTCTGTAAAGGTTAAAATGCAGAATCGGGTCAAACACCGGGGGGAAATAGGTATTTTGGCAGCCAGGTAGATTTTCCCATTAAAAACCCATGCTTCCCATGAGGTTATCTCGGTTGATAGACGCGGCAAGGAAAAACGCAAGATGGCAATGGATGCGGAAGAACCTAGGAGATAAGAGGAGTAAAAAAGATTTGGGACGCTAATATAAAGTTTTTGAGTAAAAAGCGTTTCTTTAAAATGGCCGCCCATGCGTTTTCCCATAACTTTTTTTTCGAAGTGGGATTTCTCGAAAACTACTGAACCGATCGGGTTAAAAATTTCACCCAAATAAGATCGTATACTTGGCTATAGATGGCAGCCTTTAGTTTCGGGAAAATCGATCTCAGGAAGATTTTAGATATGACCTCCAGGTTTGCTTTTTTTCAGGGGCCCGGAAAATCCAGCGTTGGGTTAACTGGCAAAAGGGCCTGGAGGTTGTCAAAATAATAAGATGTCGTTGGGAACTTTTGATATGTTATAGAGGCTCTGAATGCCGACATTTTGACGTACAATACAAAAATATTTTCTATAGGGCGATTTTGTCGAAACCGAAAAACCGCATTTTTTGCTCAAAATTAGCATATAAAGTGCCTGGAGGTTGTCAAAATAATAAGTAATCGTTTTGAATTTTTTATATGTTGTAACCATCGTTAATGCCGACATTTTGATGTACAATACAAAAATATTTTCCTTAAACGGAATTTTTGGTAATCCAAAAATGGCACTTTTCGGCCAAAATCAGTCGATAATGGGCCTGCGGGTTGTCAAAATAATAAGATGCGGTTTTAAACATTTGACATGTGATAGAGACGCTTTATGCCAACATTTTGATCTACTACATAAAAATATTGTTTATTAGATAGATTTTCAGGAAGGAAAAAACGGTGAATTTGAGCCGAAATAGACATATAATTTGGCTCGGGGTTGGCTTAATCGATTCAAACAGCGGGCGGTATTAACCCGCGGATCCCTAGGTGCAAAAAGCATCGAAAAATTTTTCGCCGCTTCGCGGCCAAACTGGAGGTGGTCGGCCGACCTGGAGGTGGTCATGGGAATCCTGGCCCACATGATCGAACCCTGTTTGAGAAGCGATTCTGTCGCGTAATTACGGTTCTTTCCTCGCATCTCCTACCCCCAAATTTTCGAATCATCTTTTTCGCGTGGAAATTATTGACCGGGCTTTCTCTTTGAAAAATGTAAACCTAAAAGGCTTTTAGTTTAGATTTTTATATTCTAGTGGCGGTGGGTAAGAAGAGATAGAGAGAGAGAGAGGGTGAGAGTGAGAGAGAGGGAGATAGCTAGATAGATAGAGAGAGAGAGAGAGAAAGAGGAAGAGAGAGCGCGTTACAAATTAGACCTTTTAAGGTACCTCCTCTTCCTCTACGGCCCGAAACGACTGCAAACCGAGGAAAGTGGCCCCTTCCAGCAGTCCCTATTCGCCCCCAGTGTCTCCCCGCAGGAATTGAGCCATTTTGCGAATTGTCGAGATCCGGGTCAGCTTTGGAAAGCTTTTTGGAATTTGAGTTAATAAAATTTGCGAAAGATTAAAAAAAACTAATAAATATATATTTTTTTAGTCAATAAAGTATTGTTTTTCAGAAGAAACGCTCTACGTCAGCTGGCGAGCCGTCCGTTTTCTGCCCGTTCGGCCGCCGATGAATTTGAAGAATATTGTGAGTTTTTGAATGGATTAAAACAGATTTAAAAGAATTTTTACATGGAGGGTTTCATGAGAAACGTTTACTTAATTTTTAATGCAATTAAATTAATTTGTAATGCAATTAAATTAGTTTTAATAAAGCTATATAAGGTTTTTCAGATAATCTGCGCTAGTGACGACCGGGATCTCGTGGCAAGCTCGGCATCGGCCGCCGCAGCCGATCGTATTATCCCGTACCGCATTCCGTTCGAGCGCTATGCACCGTTGGTTTTTAAATTGGCGGACATTTTAAAGGGACTAGGAAGCCAAAAATCGACTCCTCGTCACAGCTAGGTCTCGACAAAAATAGCTTCGTGGAAATGAATCTTTTTGCCTTTTAAATGTTTAAAATGCAATGGATTAAAAAGTTATCGGAAAAAATAAGTTTCTAAAAAATATTAAATTCCCTTTTTTCAGTCACTACGGCCACCTGGGGACCAAGCTGACGCTTCCGCTACACGCCATCGCCGGCATTATGGGCGACTGGGTCCGCACCGGGGACTGGACGACCGCAATTGCTGGTAAGAATGTTGCGATTAATGCCTATCCAATTTTTGACATAAATTTTAATTCTATTAAATCATTTCTTAAATCTATTTTTATCCATTTTTACAAAAATACAAAAAATTTTGGCTAAAATTGACAAAATATTTTTTTGAGAAATTTGGATTGTGTTTTAGACAAAGCCAAATAATTTTTTTGAGTATTTGTCAAATCCGCAAAATTGTTGGAAAACTCTAGAAAAATTTATTAAAATCTATTTTCAGACCACGTGGGCCCGCGGCGAGTCCTGACGCCAGACGAGATGGCCAAAAGGGACGACGGGCTGAAGCGGGAAGAGGTGGGCTTTATTTTACAACTTAAAATTAAATTTTTATAAGCATCGTTTTTAACTTTTAATGTATTTGATTTTTATTGCGAGTTTTGTATTTTTTTAAACTCTTTTTTTTAGTTCTTCAAGCTGGCGATGAAGGATTTCGAGGTGAGCCGGCGGCAAGACGAGGTCGATCGCCGGAATGTTGCCACAAGGGCCATGCCGTTGGAGGGAGGAACACAGATGCGGCATTGGAGAGCCAATAGCGAAGAAGCCGACGGAAAGGTGAATTTGAGAAATCAATAAAAACAAATTGGGTTCTTTGCATTATCGGGGGGCAAAGAATTTTTTTAGACGGCTATAAATAACTATAACTTAATAGGAAATATTTTAATAATGTTTTTAGTAGAATCAAGCTATTTAACAACTTTTCATTGTTTTTCAAAAGCGCAAAAATGTGGTCAAAACGATCATTTTTCGTCAAAATCTATATGTTTGCATTTTTTAGTAAAAATTTGTGAATTTTTACATTTAGGGACGGTCAAAAATACTTTGCAACAACTTCCGCGGTTTATCTTTAAAAAATTGGATCCCAAGAAAAAATTGTTAATAGCCCCCCGATAATGCGAAAGAACCAAAAATGCCCGTCCCTTCGAAATTTTGGGTAAGGCAAAGCCATCAGTTTTGCGGGTTATTTATAAAAAATCCGCTGATGTTTTTAATCGCAAAATCCGATTTTATCTCGGTGTTTTTAATCGCAAAATTAATTCTCAAATAAATTAAATGATTTTAATTATTAAATGATGTAATTAAAAGGAGAATAAACGCAATAAATTGTATTCCAATTTTTTTTCCAGACAAAACGCAAGCACCGGTACACGCGCGAGGAGCGGAACGCCCGAAGAGCGGCCAAAGCGGCGGCCGGCAACTAAAAGCGCTTCCCGGAAATATTGTTGTAGTTTGTAGCTTTGTTTGTGTTGTTTTTGCGCATTTTTGCTGAATTGATTATTGTTTTTTTGGTTGGAAATTTTGATGCTTTATCGATTTATTTGGTTATGACAAGAATTTCGAGAACAATTAATCCTTGGATTTGGCTTGAAAATTACACAAAAATTACAGCCCGTATTAATGCGGAGCGGAGTACGAAAACAAAAGTAAAAAGCAAAAAATGACAAATAGAAAGACCAAAAATGACTATTAGATAAGGCGAGAGAGAAAAATTACAGTAATCTCGGGAAAGGATTACTGTTTTTCTTCGTGTTTTACTTGTTAAACACTCTTATGCGATTGGCAGGGTCAAAGAAAAAAATGAATGAAAGGCATTGGCAAGGCATAGCCATCGAGTTTTCTCTATGGGTTCGCTGCGTTTTTAGCCGCGCCGCGACCCGCCACGCTACCTCTCGCCTTTCCCGGGCGTAATCCATTATGCCGCTTTAACAGGGCTTTAACAAGGCTTTAACAGCCGCGCGTGAGCGTTGCGTGTCGCGACTCTGTTGAATTTAGAAGGGCCAGAACAAAAAAAAAACATTATTTTGCTTTGGGTGCGATTCCCAATTATTTTCTTATCCCACTCATTTCTGACCTAAAAATTTGAAACATCGTTTTTCTCGCTGAAAATTCTGAAAACCGTGATTGTTTTGAAAAGCCGATTTTGCAATCATGTAAAATTATGGAAAAACAGCTGCCTTTTCATTTTTTAAAAGATTTTTTGCTTTTTGCTAAGAATTGCGTTTTAGAATCTATATATTTCATGGAAACCAGCAAAAACATGTTTAAAAAATCCGCGACAGATAAAAGAACATCGAAAGGACTTCGAACTGCTGTTTTAACGGAAAATGTGCCGCGACACGCAACGCATGCACCCCGCTTGGTCGATTGGTGATTCGATTACGCAATGGAATGCGGGCTGCGTTGCGAGTCGCGACGCGGGAAAATTCTTCGGGGAAATAAGAGCGGAAAATTGTACTTGTTTTGATCGTCAGAGCGATACGTGATTATTTTTTTCACTCGCTTTTTCTTCCGGCAAATTTTTGAAACACGTTTTTGCCATGGAAAATTCTGGAAAATGGGAATTTTAGCCTTTTTAGGCTGTACATTTCCGCGCCGCGACACGTAACGCTTCCGCCCGGTCCTGCGATTCTTGTTTTCCAGTAGTAGTAGGTCTTAAGTGTTTTTTTTTACTTTCTGAATAGATTATTTTTCATAGGAAATTTTGATGTTTTATGGCATTATTTGGTTAATACAGGCGTTTTGTGGACAATAGTGGAGCCGATCTTCTTTAGAAAAATGACAAAAAAAGATACAACCCGTATTAATGGGGAGCGGAGCACAAAAAGAAAGAAAAAACAAACAAAAAATGACAAAAACTAAAGGCCAAAAATGACAATTGGATGAGACGAAAGTTACAGTAATCTCGGGAAAGGTATATTTCGGGTTTTATCTGTTACACACATTGTATTATGCAGCTGGCAGGGTAAAAGAAAAAAAATGAATTAAAGGGATTAGCAAGGCAAATTCGGAAAATCCCAATATTTTGATATTTCGAAAAATGATTTTCACTAGATTCCTTCGCCACATTATTGTTTTCACTAGCGTTTCCTGCTTCCAAATTTTTGAAACGTGTTTTTTCCGAATTTTTTTCGTGCGACAAAATTTTGTAGCGATTCCTTGCTTTTTCCCTTTAACTCTGGCTCAACGTATCACACGAAGAAGCTCTTGGCATACTAGGTAAAGTGGCCATTTCGCTATCCGAATCGGATACCGAAGGGGATACTGGGGTTTCGACGTGAAACCGCTGCATTGGGGGGACGGAAGAGCGTTTTTTGTGTGGACTGCTTGGCTCGTCGAGATAATCACTCGATTCTGGGGGCAATTCCAGGTGGGAGTGGTCCGGAAGGCTGAAAAATTCATAAAATTCTTTAAGAAATCTCTGCTAGCCTGCTCTCCCCATATCCCTCTCACTCTCTCTCTCCCTCTCTCTCACTCTCTCACTCTCTCCCTCCCTCTCTCGCCCTCTCTCTCTCACTCTCGCACTCTCTCTCCATCCCTCTCTCTCGCCCTCTCTCTCTCACTCTCTCTCTCTCTCTATATATCGCTCTCTCTGTCTCTCTCTGTCTCTCTTTCCTCAAAATTTTCTGCTAAAACTGAAAAAAAAACATGTTCCAGTCATTTATGCCAAGAAAGTGAGCGAGCAAAAAATAATTTTTGCCTGCCTGCCTTCAAGCGCTACTTTTACCTTAAAGGAAGAAAAAGAATTTATTTTTGACTCTGGGCGCTTTTACATTATCGGGGGGAGCTTTTTTCTAAGGGTCCAATTTTAGAGGAAGCTCATGTATGCTATTTTTTACTTTCCTTCGCAAAAAACTTTACAAAACCTTTACCAAAAAATACAAAAATATCGGTGCTTCCAGGTTAACGGGGGGCGGTTATTTTAGCGGGGGGCGGTTGCAAACTTTTCTTTGTTTAGCCTATATTTGCCTAGGGATAAATTGTGGTTTGGTTTAATAATGTTTTTGGTAGTTTCCGAAAACCAAAAATTATAAAAGCATTTATCCTAAAGTCACAAAATTTAGGGTTTTGGCTCCTTTTTATCCATGTTCTTACACGGTAGACCAAAAAAAGCAAAAATTTTCAACGTCTTTAATGATGTTTTTCTTAATTTCTCCACCCCCGCTAACAATCCAAAACCGCTTGCCACGGCGTACAAGTCTATAAAAACGGTAAATTTTTAATTAGTCGACCCGCACAAGATTATAGAAAAAGTGCGCAACCGCCCCCCGCTAAAATAACCGCCCCCCGATAACCTGGAAGCACCAAAATATCGACTTTTTCGACCAAATAGCCAATTTTTTCGAAATTTCGTTTGTTTTCAACATTTTTTATATAGTTAAATTTACGAAAAACCCAATAAAATAGATCGAATTAAATCACTAAAATTTCTGGACAAAGAGGACCCCCCGATAATGCTGAAGATTCTCCTCAAAGAACCTCTGCTAGCCTGCCCCCCACCTGTTCGACGACTTCCGCCTCGGCTTCCAGAATTTTTTGGCGTTGAAAAGACGGGGGACATCGCGGGAGGACTGAAAATAAATGTTAGTCCTTTAATGTTTTTTTGTACGCGATGAGAGTCAACCAAATATAATTTTAAAAGTCTCTTAAACTCTCCAAATCTTCGAAACATAATTTTTTTTTATTAATTGAGTTATGATCGTTGTTTAAATTTTAATTTCGTGTTGATACCCACCGGAACGCCATTCTGCTCAACTTCCGGATCTAGGGATCTTCTCCGGATTTTCCGGAGTCCCGTCCACGTCAGGAAATCCTGCGATTTCCGCCTGGCCGTTGAGGTCGGCTGTGGCAGCTTGGGCACGTTTTCTTCAGCAGCTGGAAAATACAGATATTTTTATTTTTTTAAAGGGCCGGGCAAGGCAAAACTATAGATTTTCTTTGCTCTGTTTGGGATTTTTCTGGGTTTTCAGCGCTACGACACGCAACGCTTCCGCATCGTTTGATCGGCTTTTCAAAGTGTCGTAATAGACTACGCGATAAAACGGCGGGCAGACGCGTTGCATTTGGCCGCCGGAAAATCCATGCAAAACTGTAATTTTTTTGACAAGTTTCCATAATTGCAAAAATAAGCTTTTCAAAATTATCAATTTTTCAGAACAATTTCGTGATAAAAATATGTTTCAAAAATTTGGGGGAATGAGACGCGAACGCGAAAAACAATTGGGTGCAGATTTACACGAAAAATTGATTTGAAAAATACGCCGCGGCACGCAACGCTGCCGCCCGCGCTTCACGTTATCGATCACGACACCTAAAAGGCGGAAAAGCGCCACGGAGGCGTTGAGTGTCGCGATCCGGGGAAGCTCTTTAAGGGGCTATTATTAACATTGGCAAAAATTAATTTTTCGAAGATTTTTCCAGGATTTGAGATCCAGATATATGTTTCAAAAATCTGCAGGAAACCAAATAGAAGGGGGAAAATAATGCCAGGTCGTTTGCGTTAAAGCGAAAAATACAATATTTGCCGAGACACGCAAAGCGCTTCCATTGCGTAATCGATTATGACACGTCGAAAATGCGGGATAGCGAGGCGGAAGCGTTGCGTGTCGCGGGCCCCGCAAGATTTTTAGGAGGTTACTAACGATGACAAAAATACGTTTCAAAAATCTAGGGGAATAGCAAAAAAAGGGAAAACGCAATGCTTCCGCCGGTCTTTCCATTGCGTAATCGATTACGCCACGTTGAAAAGGTGGGAAAGCGTCGCGGTTGCGTTGCGTGTCGCGGCCCTGGTGAATTGCCATCTCACAATTCGAATGCAAAAAAATGTGTCAAAAACCTAAAGAACCAGATGGTTACAGTCGCTTCGCGACTGCAACCATCTGGCCTTCGGGCTACCCTAAATGTCTCACTCCACCACATCCTTTCCCACCTCCATCAATACCCCCCATAGCCGAAATCTCGTTCAAAAACTACCTAAATGCCTTCCTGATGGCTGCAGATACCCCCATGGCTGAAATCCCCTTAAAAAACTACCTAAATACCTTCCTGATGGCTTCAGATTGCTCCCCTAGCCGAAATCCCCTTCAAAAACTACCTAAATACCCTCCTGATGGCTTCAGATACCCCCCCCATGGCTGAAATCCCCTTCAAAAACTACCTAAATACCTTCCCGATGGCTTCAGATACCCCCCATGGCTGAAACCCCCTTCAAAAACTACCTAAATACCTTGCTGATGGCTTCAGATACCCCCCATGGCTGAAACCCCCTTCAAAAACTACCTAAATACCTTGCTGATGGCTTCAGATACCCCCATGGCTGAAACCCCTTCAAAAACTACCTAAATACCTTGCTGATGGCTTCAGATACCCCCATGGCTGAAACCCCCTTCAAAAACTACCTAAATACCCTCCTGATGGCTTCAGATACCCCCCATGGCTGAAACCCCCTTCAAAAACTACCTAAATACCCTCCTGATGGCTTCAGATACCCCCCATGGCTGAAACCCCTTCAAAAACTACCTAAATACCCTCCTGATGGCTTCAGATACCCCACATGGCTGAAACCCCTTCAAAAACTACCTAAATACCCTCCTGATGGCTTCAGATACCCCCCATGGCTGAAACCCCTTCAAAAACTACCTAAATACCCTCCTGATGGCTTCAGATACCCCACATGGCTGAAACCCCTTCAAAACTACCTAAATACCCTCCTGATGGCTTCAGATACCCCCATGGCTGAAACCCCTTCAAAAACTACCTAAATACCTTGCTCATGGCTTCAGATACCCCCCATGGCTGAAACCCCCTTCAAAAACTACCTAAATACCCTCCTGATGGCTTCAGATACCCCCCATGGCTGAAACCCCTTCAAAAACTACCTAAATACCTTGCTGATGGCTTCAGATACCCCCCATGGCTGAAACCCCTTCAAAAACTACCTAAATACCCTCCTGATGGCTTCAGATACCCCACATGGCTGAAACCCCCTTCAAAAACTACCTAAATACCTTGCTGATGGCTTCAGATACCCCCCATGGCTGAAACCCCCTTCAAAAACTACCTAAATACCCTCCTGATGGCTTCAGATACCCCACATGGCTGAAACCCCTTCAAAAACTACCTAAATACCTTGCTCATGGCTTCAGATACCCCCCATGGCTGAAACCCCCTTCAAAACTACCTAAATACCCTCCTGATGGCTTCAGATACCCCACATGGCTGAAACCCCCTTCAAAAACTACCTAAATACCTTGCTCATGGCTTCAGATACCCCCCATGGCTGAAACCCCCTTCAAAAACTACCTAAATACCCTCCTGATGGCTTCAGATACCCCACATGGCTGAAACCCCCTTCAAAAACTACCTAAATACCCTCCTGATGGCTTCAGATACCCCACATGTCTGAAACCCCTTCAAAAACTACCTAAATACCTTCCTGATGGCTTTAGATACCTCCCCTAGGCGAATGCCCCTTAAAAAACTAAAATAACGACCGACCGGATACGTGGGAGAAAAATAGAAATGAAATGGCTCCCGTGAAAATTTTCATCCAGGGAACGCACGCCACCTGGCTCACTATGTACAAAATCACCCCAACCTCCATCCCCTCCCCTTTTACTAAGGAAAAAACTTTCAAAGTTAATTTTAATAATTTAAACTAAAAGTTTTTCATAATTTTTTTATCAGTTTGGGGGTTTCTGAGGGCGCTCTATCCGAATCCGAAGAGAGCTAAGCTCTAGCTCCTTTCCCCTTCGAGTTGAATTCGGCTTCACACAGACAGACGGAGACCACAACAAAATTATTATAGTTGATAGAGGAGAGAGGTCAACGAACAATTGGCCGGATTTTCCGATATACCCAAAAATGAAATTGCTTTCATCGGGATGAATTAAATTAAATTCATTCATACTTTTACCTAAGATTTTTTAATTTTAAATATTCAACATGTTTTGACTATCGGAATGTTTCAAAAAATTAACGAAAAGATTGTTAGTTGCGGTACTTCACAAAACTGAGTTTTTTTAATCTAAAATTTTTTCATCAAATGCTTTAATCAATGCTTTTGCGTTCCTGCTAAATTCTTTATGGCGCGGATATCGATGCCAAAAAGTAAAAAATTACGCGTTTTATAGAATTTTGGCAGCAAAAAAATGTTTCAAAAATCCCGGCAAATAAAAATACAAACTAAAAAGCTAATCCAGTGGCTAGAGCTGGCCTTTGGAATCGTGAATTTCTTATGAATTTCCAGCGCGTAATCGATTACGACACGTCGAAAAGGTAGGCTAGCGATGCGGAAGCGTTGCGTGTCGCGGCCCCGGCAAGATTTTTAGGGGGCTAGCATCAATGGCAAAAATATGTTTCAAAAATCTGGGGGAATAAAACAAAAAATGGGAAAATAATGATCGGTATATTCTTATCAACTATAATAATTTTCTTGACGCGTCTGTCCGTCCGTCCGTCTGTGTGAAGCCGAATTCAACTCGAAGGGGAAAGGAGCTAGAGCTTAGCTCTCTTCGGATTCGGATAGAGCGTGGTCAGAAACCCCCAAACTGATAAAAAAATTATTAAAAAGTTTTAGTTTCAATTATTAAAATTAACTTTGAAAGTTTTTCCTTAGTAAAAGGAGTGGGGGCCCCTTTCCCGGGAGGCCACGCCCCCTTTCTCTTCGCCCCTCTTCCCCAGGCCCCTTCCCGCGCCCAAATAGCTTTTTAAGTTACTTTAATACTTTTAATACTTTTTAATACTTTTTAATACTTTTTAATTATGCTAATTAATTATTTAAATCATCTGAAGCCATCGGGAAGGTATTTAGGTAGTTTTTAAAGGGATTTCAGCCATGGGGGTATCTAGCCATCAGGAAGGTATTTAGGTAGTTTTTGAAGGGGATTTCAGCCATGGGGGGTATCTGAAGCCATCGGGAAGGTATTTAAGTAGTTTTTGAAGGGGATTTCAGCCATGGGGGGTATCTGAAGCCATCAGGAAGGTATTTAGGTAGTTTTTGAAGGGGATTTCAGCCATGGGGGGGTATCTGAAGCCATCGGGAAGGTATTTAGGTAGTTTTTGAAGGGGATTTCAGCCATGGGGGTATCTGAAGCCATCGGGAAGGTATTTAGGTAGTTTTTGAAGGGGATTTCAGCCATGGGGGGTATCTGAAGCCATCGGGAAGGTATTTAGGTAGTTTTTGAAGGGGATTTCAGCCATGGGGGGTATCTGGAAGCCATCGGGAAGGTATTTAGGTAGTTTTTGAAGGGGATTTCAGCCATGGGGGGTATCTGAAGCCATCGGGAAGGTATTTAGGTAGTTATTGAAGGGGATTTCAGCCATGGGGGGTATCTGAAGCCATCAGGAAGGTATTTAGGTAGTTTTTGAAGGGGATTTCAGCCATGGGGGGTATCTGAAGCCATCGGGAAGGTATTTAGGTAGTTTTTGAAGGGGATTTCAGCCATGGGGGTATCTGAAGCCATCAGGAAGGTATTTAGGTAGTTTTTGAAGGGGATTTCAGCCATGGGGGCTATCTGAAGCCATCGGGAAGGTATTTAGCGTAGTTTTGAAGGGGATTTCAGCCATGGGGGTATCTGAAGCCATCAGGAAGGTATTTAGGTAGTTTTTGAAGGGATTTCAGCCATGGGGGGGTATCTGAAGCCATCGGGAAGGTATTTAGGTAGTTTTTTGAAGGGGATTTCAGCCATGGGGGGTATCTGAAGCCATCAGGAAGGTATTTACGTAGTTTTTGAAGGGATTTCAGCCATGGGGGGGTATCTGAAGCCATCGGGAAGGTATTTAGGTAGTTTTTGAAGGGATTTCAGCCATGGGGGGGTATCTGAAGCCATCAGGAAGGTATTTAGGTAGTTTTTGAAGGGGATTTCAGCCATGGGGGGTATCTGAAGCCATCGGGAAGGTATTTAGGTAGTTTTTGAAGGGGATTTCAGCCATGGGGGGTATCTGAAGCCATCAGGAAGGTATTTAGGTAGTTTTTGAAGGGATTTCAGCCATGGGGGTATCTGAAGCCATCAGGAAGGTATTTAGGTAGTTTTTGAAGGGATTTCAGCCATGGGGGTATCTGAAGCCATCGGGAAGGTATTTAGGTAGTTTTTGAAGGGGATTTCAGCCATGGGGGGTATCTGAAGCCATCAGGAAGGTATTTAGGTAGTTTTTGAAGGGGATTTCAGCCATGGGGGTATCTGAAGCCATCGGGAAGGTATTTAGGTAGTTTTTGAAGGGATTTCAGCCATGGGGGTATCTGAAGCCATCGGGAAGGTATTTAGGTAGTTTTTGAAGGGATTTCAGCCATGGGGGTATCTGAAGCCATCGGGAAGGTATTTACGTAGTTTTTGAAGGGATTTCAGCCATGGGGGGTATCTGAAGCCATCAGGAAGGTATTTACGTAGTTTTTGAAGGGGATTTCAGCCATGGGGGGTATCTGAAGCCATCAGGAAGGTATTTACGTAGTTTTTGAAGGGGATTTCAGCCATGGGGGGTATCTGAAGCCATCGGGAAGGTATTTAGGTAGTTTTTGAAGGGGATTTCAGCCATGGGGGGTATTTGAAGCCATCAGGAAGGTATTTAGGTAGTTTTTGAAGGGGATTTCAGCCATGGGGGGTATCTGAAGCCATCGGGAAGGTATTTAGGTAGTTTTTGAAGGGGATTTCAGCCATGGGGGGTATCTGAAGCCATCGGGAAGGTATTTACGTAGTTTTTGAAGGGATTTCAGCCATGGGGGGTATCTGAAGCCATCAGGAAGGTATTTAGGTAGTTTTTTGAAGGGATTTCAGCCATGGGGGGTATCTGAAGCCATCAGGAAGGTATTTACGTAGTTTTTGAAGGGGATTTCAGCCATGGGGGTATCTGAAGCCATCAGGAAGGTATTTACGTAGTTTTTGAAGGGATTTCAGCCATGGGGGGTATCTGAAGCCATCAGGAAGGTATTTACGTAGTTTTTGAAGGGGATTTCAGCCATGGGGGGTATCTGAAGCCATCGGGAAGGTATTTAGGTAGTTTTTGAAGGGGATTTCAGCCATGGGGGGTATTTGAAGCCATCAGGAAGGTATTTAGGTAGTTTTTGAAGGGGATTTCAGCCATGGGGGGTATCTGAAGCCATCGGGAAGGTATTTAGGTAGTTTTTGAAGGGGATTTCAGCCATGGGGGGTATCTGAAGCCATCGGGAAGGTATTTACGTAGTTTTTCAAGGTGATTTCGTCTAAGGGAGGTATCTGTAGCCATTAGCGGGGGTATTTTTGGAAAGGTAGGGATGGATGTGATGGTGTATGGCATGAAGGGAAGCCCGAAGGCCAGATGGTTACAGTCGCGAAGCGACTGGAACCATCTGGTATCAACTATAATAATTTTGTTGTGGTCTCCGTCTGTCTGTGTGAAGCCGAATTCAACTCGAACGGAAAGGAGCTAGAGCTTAGCTCTCTTCGGATTCGGATAGAGCGTGGTCAGAAACCCCCAAACTGATAAAAAAATTACGAAAAAGTTTTTGTTTAAATTATTAAAATTAACTTTGAAAGTGGCGCCTTAATAAAACGAGTGGGGGCCCCTCTCCCCGGGAGGCCACGCCCCCTTTCTCTTCGCCCCTCTTCCCCAGGCCCCTTCGCGCGCCCAGATGCCTTTTTGAGTTACTTTAATACTTTTAATACTTTTTAATTATGTTAATTAATTATTTAAATTATTTAAAGTATCTGAAGCCATCGGGAAGGGATTTAGGTAGTTTTTGAAGGGGATTTCAGCCATGGGGGGTATCTGAAGCCATCGGGAAGGGATTTAGGTAGTTTTTGAAGGGATTTCAGCCATGGGGGGTATCTGAAGCCATCGGGAAGGGATTTAGGTAGTTTTTGAAGGGGATTTCAGCCATGGGGGGTATCTGAAGCCATCAGGGAGGTATCTAAGTAGTTTTTGAAGGGGATTTCAGCCATGGGGGATATCTGAAGCCATCAGGGAGGTATTTTGGTAGATTTTTAACGGAATTTCGACCCGGAGGGGTATCTGAAGCCATCGGGAAGGTAGCTATGTTTTTGTGGGGGGGTTGGCTAGAGGAGGTATCTGAAGCCATCAGTGTAGTTATTGCCATGAAGGCATCAGCGTAAGGTAGGGATTAAATGTGGTGGTGTAGAATATGGAGGGTGGCCCGAAGTCCAGCCGATTGCAGTCGCGAAGCGGCTGTAATCGGCTGGTATTCTTCATAGAATTCATAGAAAAATTTTTTTATATTGAACATTTTTGGCTCTCGGAATGTTTCAAAAATTTACGAAAACAAAGTACAATCTAGAAAGCTAATTTTGTTCGCAGATGTTCTTCACAAAACTGCTTTTTTTAAATCTCAAAACCCTTACGAATTTTTTGCGCCGCGATACGCAACGCTTCCGCCGATCTTTCCATTGCGTAACCGATTACGACACGTCGAAAATGCGGAAAATCGTCGCGCTCGCGTTGCGTGTCGCGGGCCTGGCCAGCTCTTTAAGGCACCAGTAACGATGGCAAAATTAAATTTTAAAAATTACACCTTTCCAGAATTATAAGAATTATAGGAAAAATATGTTTCAAAAATCTGGGGGAAATAAAATAGACGTGGGAAAATAATACACAGTTCGTTGTTGTTGCGAAAAATAAAATTTTGCCGCGATAGGCAACGCGCTTCCACCGCGTAATCGATTACGACACGTTGAAACGGCGGAAAAGCTGCGCGGAAGCGTTGCGTGTCGCGCGCGGCAAAATGCTAAGGGATTTTCTTGAATAATTTTCTTTTTTCGAATTAGAAAAAATGTAACATAATTTTCCCAGTTTAAAAAAAACTGCATTTTTAGCCCTACCTTCCCCAAAAGTCCCGGATTTCCGCTTCTTATTCATCCTCGGGTGGTCGGGAGTTGGGTAGATCCCTTTACCACTCGAAAGCTGGCGCCCAATTCCGTGAGCAGCAGCTCTTAAATGTTGTTTTTAATTAATTAAATTTTTTACAAGCTTTTTCTAGGTTAATTTAATTCACCTCCACGCATTCAGCACATTCCCCAGGATATGAATTTTGGCCGATTTCGTCGACGCGGCCCGGCTTCTCGACTCGAGCTCCTCGATCTCTTGCTCCTCTTCCGCCTGGAAAGTCTTTCTTATTTTTTGCTTGTACTTTTTACTTTTTAATACTTTTTAATTACTACTTCTAGGTCAAAAAAATGTACTGTGTTATTGGAAACAAAATTCTCACCCAAATCCTTTCAATTTTTCGAAACATACTTATCCTACCTAGAAAATTGAAGCCTGTTATAAATTTTTAAAGTATTTTACGCTATTTTCAATTCACATATTAAGTTTTGATTACGATTCTTAGGTTCACTTTAGCAATTTTTCAGAAATTTTTCGCCGATATATTAATTTAACCGGTTATGTTACGACATGTTCATGTCGCGAGACATATTTTTTTAAAGCTACTTGAAAAATTTGAAATTAATTATTTAATTTTAATTTTAATTATTTTAACCAAGAGAAACCGTCTTTTTTGGAAATATGTTCTATGGATAGAAATTTTGAATTTTTCGTTGAGTTCCAATCACCAACCTCGACCTCAACTTGTGGCAACGTTTTGTAGAACTCGTTCGACATTAGCTGTAAATAGCCGTAGCCCTCTGTGGCCTAAAAAGCAATTTTCGATTTTTTTACAGTATTTTTAGTAGTTTTTGATTGCTAAAAGGTTATCAAAAATCGCCTAAAAATTTTGTAATCTTGAAAATTTTGGATAATTTTTGAAACATTTTAACCAAAAATTCAAAAATTTCGAATTTTTATAAGCTTTTCCTATCTAAAGACTGTGTAAAATTCCGTAAAATTGGCTTAAATTTGTACTTTGCTATTAAATAAAATTGTATAGAGAATTTTATCACGAATTTCAACCCACCTGCTCCAATAAAATCGTAAAGATTGTCAGCAGCTCGTCAAAACTTGGCCGTGACGTCGGGTATTCTTGCCAGCAGCGTTGCATCACTTCGTCTCTGAAAAGTCAACGATATTTCGATACTTTTCTATGATTTTTAGGACCAGAAAATTACGCTTTTTGCGCCGCGCACGTTTGAAAAATTGTTTAGTAACGTTTTTCTCATTTTATTTTGATTTTCGCTAACAAAATCAATGAATATGTGCCGTTTTAGTGAATTAAATTACTGTATTAATTAGTGTAATTACTGTACTATAATATAAATAAAACCCACAGCTTATCCGACGCCAAAAGCGGTCGCTTCGGTCGGCGCCCGGATTTCAGTTCCTCGAGAATCGCCGTCGGCTCGATGTCGACGAACGGGGCGTCGCCCATCGAGTACATCTCCCACAGCACCATGCCGAAGGACCACCTGAAAAGTATTTACTAAAATATTACGAGTTTAATTAGGTAATTAAACGTCGAAAAGCAAGTTTTCCCGTTTTCTCAAAAAATTTGCGCAACAAAATTTTTTTCAAAATTGATGTTTTACTTGTATAGAAGGTTCGGTGAATTTTTCTGTGTTGAGTTGCTCTCGAGACAGATCTTCTACTATTTCTAAGCGTAAAAACTACAAATTTTTCTAAGAATTTCTGGACTATTTCTAAACAGTTTTTACAATTTCTAAACGTAAAAAATATACTTTTTATTAAAGATACAAACATATGTGTTTTTCGCCAAAGATGGTGGGTTTTCACCAAAATTTAAATTTTTGGAACAATTAATAATTTTTAAAATCGTTTTCAACTGGAGATGACGTTACATTTTTGAGATCACTACTATACAATACTGACAATACAATACTTACAATTCTATACAATACTTTTTACTATGCCGGTAGACAATTTGGATTTACTGGAAAACGCTAGAAATTTTATGTTTCAGTTCGCGAGAAGGTCTATTCAATTATTTTTGTTTCAGTGCCACTCCGAAGAACTAGTTAAACTAAAAGATCTACCAGGTACTACTACCTAATGACGTATCAAACATACCTTAAAATTGATCCCCTATCGAGATATCCTCCGGACAGACAGACGGAAGTGGATGCAAAGTGGCACACACAAACACACACTATTTTTTCATATATAGTAGGATTTTTAAAAAACCCACACATCACTTTTGCTGGAGAATTTGTGTGATTCGAGGCATTCGATGGCCAGCCATTTTATCGGGAGTTTACCTAAATAAAAATTAAAATAAATTATAGAAACTGACCGCTAATATCGACGGATCGATCGTTGGCGTCGATGCACAGCCCAAAGTCGCCAATCTAGAAAAATAATTCTAAAAAGCTTAAAAATATAAATCAAAGGCTATTATTGCTAAAAATCGACTAAGGAAGCTTGTAAAACAGGCTCGAAGCTTTGAAAACTTCTTCTAAAAAACTCAAAAAAATCGGGAACAAAAACTTGTGAAAACACGCTCAAAAGTTTGTTTTGAAGCGCTTAAAGAGTAATATTTTCTTTATTTTAGTGATTTAGTTCTGTTAAAAGCTATTTTATTGAGTTCAAAGCTATTTAAAAACTTTAAAAAATCTTTTAAAACCGCTAAAACAAGCCCACTTTTGCGTTTTTCATCTGATCGATCATGATGTTGCGGGCAGCGAGGTCTCGGTGAATCACATTACGCGAGACTAGGAATTTCATCCCGCTTGCCACCTGAAATTTTAAATGGATTTAGTGTTGTAGAATTGCTTTAATTATGAAATAATCGTTTATTATAGTTTTTAATCGAAATCGCGAATTTTTTAATGATGTTTCACGCTTTACAAACTCTCGAAAACAACAGAGAAAGTTAATTGTTCGTTTTTCAGGGTCAGAAAAATGTCCAAAAATGTCCGATTTTCAGCACTTTTTTAAAAATTTATTCGTCTGGTATTTTCATCCGTTTTATCAATTAAGCTTTTATATTTCTCCCAAATCTTCTATCCTTGCTTTTTTAACATTTTTAAATACCTAGAAAAATTGTGTTTCACGTATTTTTCGTGTCCGGCAGAGTTTCCTTTGTGGTATTTCCGTCTGACTTTTATCCATTAAAATTTTATGCCTCTTTTAAAACTTTCTATTCTTCATTTTTAACCCTTTTTAAAGCTATGAAATTCCTTTTTCAGGCCTCCTCCCACTCGTATGCACACAATTTTCCTGACCGGCGGCATCGCGTCGGGCAAGTCGGCCGTCAGCCAGGTTTTTTGTTAGTTTTTGACGTTTTTATACACTTTTTTTAGGTGTTCCAAGAGCGCGGGATCCCTGTAATCGATGCGGACGTGATCGCGAGAAAAGGTATCGTTTTTAAAAGTACGTTTTTAGTTTTAAAAACTGATTTTAGTCGTAAAACCGGGCACATCGGCGCACGCCCGGTTACGCGCCGAGTTCGGGCCCACTTTTTTCGACGCGCACGGCAATCTGTTGCGCAAAAAGCTGGCCGACGTGGTTTTCGAGGATGTTGAGGTATTTTTAATCTACATTTTCTCTATTTTACGTTTTTTATAGAAACGCCGCCGCCTCAACGCCATCACGCACCCGGCGGTGCGCTGGGAGATCGCGAAACAGGTAATTTTGGTCCGATTTCTATTATTTAAAGTGTTGGAACGTTTGGCAGGCTAGCAAAGGACTTTTGGGATGTCTTAAAATCGCAGAAACATAGCTTAGAAGCTTAGAAGCTTCATTAAAAGGCCTAGATATTGATTTTTGTGCCGAGAAACTTCAAAAAGTTTATTTTTTGTAAAATTTCTAAAGCTTTCCAGCTTCGTTTCTATTTTCCCAAAACTTTTTAGTTTTTCTATCGTTATTGGCGTGTTTTAAAACCTTTTTATAGCCTAGAGAGTTTAAAAACATAGTTTTTTCGGTTCGAAAATTTGAAATCTTGTTTTTTCACGTTTTCAAGATTTCTAAACAGGTTTTTCTTACGTTTTGCGCATTAAAAATGAAGCTTAGTGAGTTGGGCTTATAAAAACTGTATGTTTAGTACCTCCAAGCCCTCTTTCAAGGCGCAAACATCTGCCTGCTCGACATTCCGCTGCTTTTCGAGTCGGACGTGTGGAAATGGTGGCCGCTGTCTACAGTATGTCTCGTTCATTGGTAAGATTATTTATTATTGTCTTTTTATTCCATTGTAGATGTCCTATTTTTGTATATTTAATTTCTTTAGTAGCCCCGGGCAGCAAATGGCGCGGCTAATGGCGCGCGACGGGTGCACGAGAGAGCAAGCCGAAGCTCGCATTAATGCGCAGGTGAGGGCTATTTTGGTGTTTTTTCAAAAGCCCCTTTTTAGAAAATGTAAAAATTAACATAGCTTTTTCGAAATTTTCGTAGTTTTTGATGAAAAATTCTAAAAAATGTCGAAAGTTAAATTTTTCTAAGTTTTCTATCTCTAAAAAAGCGCAAAAGCTTTTAAAATGACTGCTATTACCTTGTAGAAAGCCTAGAGTAATTCCGTGTTTTCATGAATAGCCAGAATTTTTATTAATGCCTTTTTCGTTTAATTTCTATAAATTAAATGAAATTTGATGACGGTGGGTTTAATTAACTTTAAATTTTCGTTTTATGCATCTTCTTTTCTTAATTTTATCTCTATTTTGCAGATGCCCATCGAAGAGCAAAAGCGCCACGCCGAGCTGCTCATCGACAATTCGGGGCGCCGCGAGGAACTCGTCGAGAAAGCGATTACGGTATGTTATTATAGGCGCGTTGCGTGTCGCGGCGCTGCAGTGCCTAGAGCTAATCCACGGCCATATTTGTGCCTGGCCGTTTATTTTTTTTTGCATACCCTGACGATATCTCCTCCCCATTATCTTTCCTCCCCCCGCCTCTGCTTCCCCCAAATTTTTGAAACATTTTTTTTGGCAGCGAAAACTCTGTAAAATGTGAAAAATTTTTGTAAATATAAGTGTTTCTAAACTGTTTTTTTACTATTCCTAGACGTCAAAACTTTACAAATTTTTATTAAGAAATACAAAGAGTATCGATTTTTGGCCAAAATTCAATTTTTTGAAATTTTTTAAAGCTTTTAGATAGTTTCTATTTAAAATCTAGTTTTATTGACTAAAACATTACGAAATTACTCTCTATTAAATTATAGAGGCGTTTCTAGATTAATACACAAAATATTTGCCCCCCCCCGATAATGCAAAAGGTCCTGATAGCTTAATTGATTACGCAATGGAAGGCGTAGCGTACGCGGCGCGGATTCATTCTGGGCATGCTAGCAGGGATTTTTGAGGAACGTAGAGAGCGTGGCGTAAAATAAAATAAAAATAAATACAATAAAATTTTTGAAATTCAGCACGATAAATAAATCTATTTTTTTAGATAATCGATCGATACGAGCGTAGCCTGGTGCCATTCTACGTCCGCGGCGTCTTCTTTTTGCTGCTCCTCACCTCGGTGTGGTATTTCTTGAATTTAAAGATCCTCTGCCTGCTCAATTTTGTCATATTTCTGTTGTAGAAACCGCATTTTTTCGACGGGTTACTGTATTACTTATTTGGTTTTTTGTATTTTTTTGCGCGTTTTTGGTGAATAAATTTTTCGCTTGTTATTTTAAGGGCCACGCCTTTTCCGTGGTACTTTTGACGATATATTTTCTAATTTTTATATTTAGAAAATTGACTAATTGTTAACTAATTCGTAAGCTAGTTTTTGATAATATGATTTATTTTATGAGAGTAAAAAATTTACTACAGACGAATTCAAGATTTAGAATTAGATATAGGAGTTTTAATTGAATTAGCGATGTAGAAATGTCTTATTTTTAAGAATAAATCGATTTGAAGTTTTTAATTGAATTAAAAGGTTAATAAATTGAGTTTTAATGAACAATCAATTGATAAAATTCAGTTTGAATGAAAAAATAAATTAAATGAATTAAATATTGCAATTTTCAACTATAAATGATCTTGAAATTTACAAAATTTAAAGAAAAACCAACCTGCCATGCAAAGTGCAAAAACTCCTTGGTGCAGTCGATTTGCTCGTCGATTGAGCGGCTCTGGAATTTCTAGAATTTTTTTTTGGCATCTGGCAGTGGAGGAAGAATTGATTAGAATTCACACGATTTGAAATTGTGTTTGTATGAAACATGTTTTTTTTTGAAAAAGATTACCTGATCCAAATCGGAGCGCCGCCTCAAAATATAGCTCTTCAAGTCGCGATTCGCGCAGTACTCCAGCACCAGACACGAGCGTTTTGCCGACTGAAAAAAGTGTTTTTTAACAATAATAATAATGGAGAATCTTACGATTTTTTATACCAAGTTTTTAATCAATTTTAGCTAAATTCATTCTTTAATTATATCAACCTTATTTTCAAAATCAGAAGCTATCATTCTTCAATTAAGCAAATGAGGGCCAGGTTTACTTGAGTTTCATTTAAATTGTTGTTTTATTTCTGCACAACAAACGTAAAAAGGTAATTTTTATTTGATTACATTTTTAATTAATTTAAATTACTCGGAAAATCTGCGGCTATTAATATTGTTCTTTTTGGCTTTATTTGATTAATTTTAAATCACCAGGAAAGCTTGATTTTCACTATGTGAAAAAAATTAGTTTCAGACCTGGTATTGGACTCGAATATACATGGCAGCCTTAATTACTCGTATACCAACATCCAAAAATTGAAATGCTAGGATTTAGGAATCTCTCTCACTCCCTCTCTCTCTCTCTCTCTCTCTTTCTCTCTCTCTCTCTTTCTCTCTCTCACCTGCGTACTGCATCCCAACATATTCACCAGATGCTCGTTGAAGCCGAGGGTTTTCATCTGAAAAATAGTAACTTGATGCATATGGATGGCTACAATAACCTAAATCGAAATAAGCGAAGAATCGACATTTTTGAAACATTAAAATTTTCAGATTATTGAGATTTTCGTATTTTACTCTTGTTCTCCTGACAATTCATTAATTTCTACTTGCCTTTTCAAACTTGGAGCTAATTCGAGAATGCATACCCAATGCTTTTGAATGTTATTTTTAAATTTGTTTTTGAGTAAAATTATTATTATTAAGTAATGTTGGCTTTCAAGGATTGCGCAAATTCAGAACGACCGAATTTTGTCATTTTTTTAAAACATGAAATTTCAAAGCAAATTGAAAAAAAATTAATTTGAAAATAGTCATTTTATAATTTTTTTTATGGTCAATTGCTTGATCTGGTTTTTTGAAACTGAGGCTCATTAAAAATTAAAAATATCGCTGATTTTTTACAGAAATTGTTTAACGCACCAGATTTCGGAGTGGAAATTACGGAAACTAGCACCAGCCGGATTTTGTGAATTTTTAAAACATTAAAATTCGAGGAAAAATTGTGACAAAATCGCCAGTTTATATTTTTTATCGTGCGTGATTTGTATGATTTTTCACACTTGGAGCTCACTAAAAATCTTTGTCTGAGTTTTTATTAGCACGAGCTAAGTTTTTCAATTTTTGAAACATAAAAATTTTAGGCAAACGTATCGTAAAAGAATTTTATAATTTTTTTTGAGCGTGCATTGCATTTTCCACGAATATCTAATCATTTGTAATAGCGGCTTGGCCAATAATACCAAGAATTACGAGAGTCTGAGCGGGATGAATTTACAGCTTTTTGCAACATCAACATTTTTTTAGAAAAACCGTCAAAAATCGTCATTTCGTTAATTTTGCTGGGATACTTCCACTAATGATATAATAATGGATAAACTATCGAAATCAATAAATAATATAAGAATAGTTACTAAAATGGCGAAAGATGCGAGTACGACAAATCAAAAAACCCGGATATTGGAATTTTTTGAAACATTGAAATTTGGAAAATTTCGAAAATTTAAGAATTTAGGAGCGTGTAAAATCAATCTATTAATTTTGATTCAAATACATATTAAAATCAATCTTTTACCATATCGATCTCGTGCAGGAACATCTGGAGCTCCTTTTCGGACGCGTGCTTCTGGATGATTTTCACGGCCACGTCGCAGTCCCTGAATTAAATAGCATTTAAATAATATAAACTATTACAATGGATATTTTAATAGAAATAGTTAAATTAAAGTAAAATTATTCTAACAAATTTTAATTACCGAAAATTGGCCGCTTCATGTGGATAGTAGTGTTCCAGGCCCGGCGATTGGCCTAGCATTTTTCCTGCAATATTTGTGGTATTTTTCGGGTTTTCCAAGTATTTTTTGCAGTTTTAATGTAGAATTTTTGAAGTTAATGAGGTTATAAATTACCGCAACGGAACTCTGCTAGCGATCAGTTTTTATCGGAGGAAAAAGTGTGTTTTGACCAAAAATCCGATGCGACGGGTTTTTGGTCCCGTAATCATCAGCTGCCCATATATTTGATGAAACGACGGTTTTGCTGTATGTTTAAATCCTAATATTTTCCGCAAATGACCTCCGCTAGTTTGCCCGCAATTTTTGGGGAGAAAAAAAATGTTTTGTCATGAAGTAGTAGGCCGTGAATTTATTTTGCGGTAGTGAATAAGGGTCCATGAGTTATCCAAATGTGTTTTAGTAATGCTTAGTGAGTCGTTAGTTTATTTTTGTAGTAATCGGGAGTTCAATCAGATTTAATAATTTTAACATTTCGTTTTTGCGGAAACTAAAGTTAAATATACTTTCAAATTGGGGAGGCACTTTTGCAAAAATAGTTCCGCAAGGGCCTCTGCTAACCAATTTTTTGAAAAAAAAAATGTTTTTTCAAAGTGATCGGCCCAGTGAGGTGATATGACCGTATCCGAATCAGCATTCATTGAAGAATTCTTGTCCAAAATAAATTGAATCTTATTTAAATTAGATTTTAATTAGCCGGTTTTGAGGGAAATGATCTCCTGCTAGCTGCCGGCTTAAAAAATGAGTTGCAGCGACTAAATGGATACAACAAAATTTTTACCAGATAATCGGATTTCCCCGTGTCTCGTAAAATCAAGTCTTTCCCCGGCATTAGAGTGGCGCTTATTCAAATCAAATCGGCTTCAAATTGATTTGATTTGAATTAGCAAATTTGAGTGCGAAAAACTCAACTTCAAATCAAATCGATTTGATTTGAATTAGGGGCTGGCCAACTCAAATCAAATCGATTTGATTTGGGATTTGAACAACAGGCTTATCAGGGATGCAAATTGAAAATCGGCGGTTCGGAGGGCTTTTGGTAGCGCCGTTTCTGCACATTTAGGTGTCTATTACAATAATGCATGGAGCGTTTTGATGACCTTTATATAAAATTGAGTCAGGCGGTTTTATCTGTCAGATTTATCCTGCGCTATGGATTTTCTTTGGAAAAGCTAAAGGGTAAAAACAAATAGGAAATGTATAAGGAATCGTTAACTGGGACGCTGGAACAATGCTAAGAGATTATAGGGAAAGAGCGGTGCACGAATTACGAGTTGCGTTGGGTTCATTTCTATGAGGTCTTATTCAAATTATTCAAATCGGCTGGATTTGATTTGAACTGGTGGAACTCAAATCAAATCGATTTGATTTGATTTGATCGGCTCCAATTCAAATCAAATCGGCTTGATTTGAACAATTTGAATCTTATTCAAATCTGATTTGAATAAGCGCCACTCTACCCGGCATCTTTCAACCTATCTTTTCAGCAAATTATCCCTGCAAAGTACCCCATATTTTTTGCGAAAAATATGTTTTAGCAAGGCACATCAGGTCGTTAATTTAGTTTTGTAATAATCAACAGAGACTCCTATACCTATCACCTCAAAATCAATAATTTTTACGTTTAGTGCAAATCAAATTAATTAAACACACACACACACAACAAACAAATTGAGTTTAAACGACACCCAAATGAATCTCTCTGCTAATTTTAGGCTAGGAACTCACTTTTTATATTTAATATTTATGCACATTACAAGGTATTCCCGCAAATGATCTCTGCTAGCCTGCCTCGTCTCTGAATCCCAGATTTGTCAATTCGGATTTTTTTGATGTTTCGTTGCCGGATCATGTTCACAATCTTCTTTTAAAATAATTTCTCGTCGTGTGCTTCTAGGCAAATATAATTTTCACGAATAAAAGCGATAAATCAGGTAATGAAATTAAAAACGACTCCCGGCTACGGGTCTCACCTTTTATCTAAATTTATCTAAACCTATGCATTAGGAGTTATATCCACAAATGATCTCTGCTAGCCTGCCTCATTTCCAAATTCCTAGATTTTTTCAATCCCTAAATTTTTTTGATGTTTCGTTGCTGGATCAGGTTAAACAAACACTCTTCAAAATAATCTCATCTCAATACCGTTACAGATACAATTTTCACGATTAAAAATTATAATTAACAATAATCAAAACATAAACAATTTCCGGCTACGTAACGCACCTTTATACACCAGCCCGTAGGCACCGTGGCCCAGCTTTTCCGAGCTGACGATCAGCCGATCCCACGAGATTTCCCAGTAGTCGATACTGCAAATAAAATTCTATTTAGTTGTATCTAAAAATATTCATCAAGATTTTTGGAATTCTTGATTATGCAATTGTTTGATCAATTATATTTTATATTCTGTTATATTATTTTTTTAATACGTTATATTGGATTAAGGATATGGTTGCGCTGCCAAAGCTGTTTATTAAATGTAGTCGCCCCAAATTACGTATCTGATTTTTTTGAAACACGTTTTGTGTTTCAGCGATTTCACAGAAAATCATAACTAATATTAAATTTTCGTAACTAACAAAAAAAATCAATAAAATTTTCAATTTTTCTGCGGTTTTCCATTTTTTCTCGGCAAACTCGTAGTTAATGTCTATAGTACCTTGATACACATTTTTGCTACTAAAAACACTTGCAGAAAATTGAATTTCGGTATTTTTGCCAGGAGGGTCATGCGTGCATTCACCCCCCTTTTCAGAGTATTTTTGCCAAAACATTGTTTTTGCTAGAAGCTAATAATTATGTTCACGTTAAGTGTCTTTGAACCTTTAATTACTTAAATAATGACGCTATAAAATTATATATTTAATTGCACGGTATTGCAGTAAATTAATAAATGGAAGGCACGTGTGACTGACTGAAATCAGAAAGTGGTTCAGGTTTACAAAATCTTGGAAAACACATTTTTTCGAGAGGGCAAATTGTGATTCGTGACGAGATTCAGCCGCGCCGCGACACGCAATGCGCACAACTCTTCGTTTGCGTCATGGATTAGGACTTGCCGTAAAATTGCGACCGCGGCCAGGCGGCGCGCGCGTTGCGTGTCGCGGCGCCTTTACCGGCCTTGTTTCCAGCGCCGCGACACGCAACGCGCACGCGCTGATCGGCCTCGCGTTTTGACAGCCCGTAATCGATTACGCGATGAAAATGCGGGCGTGCGCGTCGCGTGTCGCGGTGCAAAAAAATCAAAATTTTAATTTTCTTGCGCTTCACGTCCCTTGAAAAACCCACATATCATCGTCATTATTGGCGGCTTCCGTTTTCCCGTCCTCCTCCATCTCCTCGTCGCCGTCCTTGTTTTTGAACAGGTACAACTTCTGCATCCACATCAACTTCTGCCGGTAAACCACCGTACAGACGAGCAGGATTATCATCAGCCCTATAATACAAAAATACTATGTATTTAGCACCTTTCATGTTTATTCTATTTGTTTACAAAAATTTGGTGACGCAGAAAATCCAAACCTAAAAAAGAAGGTTTCATAAAAAACAAGTGCCACGCAATTTCTGAACTTCTGACTGATCTTTGTGGATAATTAAATTCAAACCTCTCAATTACCGTAGGCAGGGAATTTTGTATATATTTTTTAAGGCGATAGTTACAATTTCCCCAAAGGCCTCTGCTAGTCTGCCCTGAATTTGACAACGCCTAAAGGTTAATTTCCGCTGGGGTTTAGATACGGAAAAAATTTTAGAAAACAGAGTTTCAAACTCTAAGTGCGATCAGAAAATCTTTCGATCCCGAATTGACCTTGGATTTTCGTTGGCCAGCAGCACAGGCTTGTAAACAAAAATTTTTTCCAAGTAAAATTGGTTTTCTGTAAATTTTGTCCGTAATAATTGTTATTGTGGATAATTAAATCCAACAATTATAATAAGTAAATAAAATAGAATTAAATAAGCCGGCCTTGTTTAATCTGACGAGTTCTTGAGGGATAAAAGATTGAGAATTGCCATGGAATTTAGGTTTTAAGCTGCGTTGAAAAACCCTGTTTCAAAAAAATAAAGATAACGATAATTTTCAATTGCTTTAGTGCTCCAGGTCGCGTAACAAAACTTGTTTTTTAGCAAAAAGCGAAATTCAAGCAAGACATAACCATTAAAACTATTGAGAAAAGAAATCGATGGGCTAACAAAAATTTTGAAACATGGTTTTTCTGAAAATCTTCTGTTCGATTTTTTGATGTCGTAAAACTCTCACTTTAATACCAATCTCGCAAATTTTAAATTGAGCTATGAATAATCAGAGTGAATTCAAAAAATTTCTTAAAAAAAGAAAAATTCGTCTCAGAACTTGGAAAACTCTGTGTTTCATAAAAAATCCAAAACAATTAATTTTTTGAGCCGGTAATGTAAGAAAACAACAAAAGCTTCATATTTTGCTGGTTACGGTTAAAAGTGACAGAAAATTGATTTCAAGGACACATCTTTTCAGCCCAAAAAATTGAAGCATTTTTAATAACTGTCAAACCCAAAATATACTCCGATTTTCAATTTCGATTATTTAAATATGTTATTAAATTCCTAGATAAGTCAAGATTTCATCAAACGATCGCAAAAAATTAATTACCCACCAAACGACACGCCGATGATGATCATCCATATCGTCGTGCTCGGCATCCCCGTCGATTTGTCTGCAAAACAAAATCGGTTGATCAATTTTTCGAGGGCGCCGATGTGAAGTTTAATCATTAGGAGGATTTCGACACTTTTAAGCCACTTTACAAAATTTTTATATGGACCTTACGACAAAAAATAAGGGTTTCATAATTTACAAAAAACTTCGTTTTGAAAGGGGCTCAATCCGGCATCGTTGCAGGCCTTTTCTACGAATATTGCTACTAGTTTCTTTAAGATCGAATTCGAAACGTGTCGGTGGAAAAACGGGTCCTTCCAGGTTATCGGGGGGCGGTTGCGAATTATTTTCTATAATTTCGTGCGGCTCAACTAAACAAAAGTTTGCCGTTTTTATACGCTTAAACGCTGTTTACGTGGTACTGGACTGTTAGCGGGGGAAGAGAAATTAAGAAAAACATCATAAAATATGTTGCAAATTTTGAATTTTCGTTCTAACGCGTATGAAATTGGTTAAAAGCGAGCTAAAACCCTAGATTTTGCGGCCGCCGGATAAATGTTTTGATAATTTTTGGCTACCCGAAACTATGAAAAACATTGTTAAAATAACCTACACTTTATCACTAGGCCAGTATAGGCTAAAGTATAGGCTATAGAAAGAAAAGTTGGCAACCGCCCCCCCGCTAAAATAACCGCCCCCCGTTAACCTGGAAGCACCGAAAAACGAAAATCGGGATTTCGCGAGTCGCAAAACCGGCATTTTATGTATTTTTCATCAAAATGTAATGTATGTGTAGGCAAAGCAAAAACAGTCTATCTAAGCGCTTCTTCTATTTATAATATAAAAATTCGATGTACCAAAGGTTTATCAATTGCCAGCAAAAACACGCAAAATGGTGTTTCGTGACAACTTAATGGCTTGGGTCGATACTTAACCATAATAGATACAGATCCTCTCCTAATGTCCTAACGTCCTTTTGCACACTAACCCGAAGTCTCAATTTCGATAATTATTCGGCAGGATATTTGATTTTAAAACCGCTATTTCAATTGTTTAAAGAGCTACTAAATTGAGAAATTTCAGGAGAAAATATGTTGCGCAAAAATCCAAATGCACCGGGCCTGATTTTAGGATAATCAAAGCGTTGCCCAACGCGATCACTCACAAGGATTTATCAATTCTAGAAACTATTTTAAATGCTAAATTTAATCAAAAGTCAATACGAATTTCTTTAGAATCAATGGCTAAAATTAATGCAATTGCTTTAAAAAATTGCGTTTCGTAAACACTTCAAGGTTGCAAAATTTTTACGAGAGCATTGAACGAACTTCTGGAAGACGCGATCTGGGAAATATTAATGAGAGTATTGAAAGCTTTTTAATAAAACTTAATAATAACTTAACAGCGTTTTCTTTAAAACCTAACGTATCAATTACCAATTGGTAAATTATCAAAAATATGTTTCGTGATTTATCAAGAACCTAAAATGTTCTTCCGCCATAATTCTGTCTCGAATCTGGTCATCAATCAATAATAATTTAAAATAACCTAATTACGGAAAAAATTTCTACCGTACCCTTTGGCGGGCAAATATCGGTGGGACCCGGCGCCTTGCTGAAACCGTCGTCGACGAACAGGTTCCGGGCGGGGATCGTCGTCTCCGCCTCGTAGATCTTCTGCACCGCCTGCAATTATGAATTAGCAGAAAACTGGGATTTTTAAAAACAATATTTTACATTTAGAAAATTAAAATAAAAAGTAAAAAATCGAAAATCAAAAAATAATAGTAAATTTTTATTTTTGCTTGGAATTTTTACTTGCAGGTTTAAAATTTGTTATGGTAAGTACTAAAAAAAACCACAATTTTATTATTGGTAAAAATCTAATTGTTTTATCAATAATTTTACAAATAGCAAAAATTCCAAAACGCACCATACTGAAGGCGTACACCTCGAAGTTGGCGTGCTGCTGCAGCCATTTGAAGGCGGCCGACGGGGCCGAGGCCCGGTAGGCGTCGATGAAGTTCTGGAATTTGGCTTGGCTTAGGCTTGGCTTAGGCTTGGCTTAGGCTTGGCTTAGGCTTGGCTTAGGCTTGGCTTAGGCTTGGCTTAGGCTTGGCTTAGGCTTGGCTTAGGCTTGGCTTAGGCTTGGCTTAGGCTTGCCTTAGGCTTGGCTTAGGCTTGGCTTAGGCTTGGCTTAGGCTTGGCTTAGGCTTGGCTTAGGCTTGGCTTAGGCTTGGCTTAGGCTTGGCTTAGGCTTGGCTTAGGCTTGGCTTAGGCTTGGCTTAGGCTTGGCTTAGGCTTGGCTTAGGCTTGGCTTGGACTTGGTTCAGGACTTTGATATGCTGAATGGAAAGGCAAATCGTATTTGGACTACAGGGTGTCCCAAAAAAAATCCCCCCCCCCCTAGCCGGCCGCAGCCTTGTTCAATTTTTGCGATTTAGGTATCTATCGAAAGCTCTCGAAAAGGCGAGTCCAGCACGTCACTCGGATTCTCAAATTTTTGAAATTTTTTTAGCATTTACTAACATTCTTGCGAAATGGATAGATCCTCTAAGGATTTTCAGACCAAGGGATTTTTTAGAAAAATCACAATTTAAGGATTTTTACGTCCTTCCTGGGAGTCCAACGACAGCTTTTAGAAAGCCATTTGCGAAAACACAGCTTGGATGGCGCTTAAGCCGGTTAAATTAAGTTTTTGACAAAAAGCTTGCTCTTTTTGTCTAAAAAAATGGTCAAAATCGAGCAAAAATTCAGGAATTTCGAAAATCCGAGAGACGTGCTGGACTCGCCTTTCCGAGAGCTTTCGATAGATACCAAAATCGCAAAAATTCAACAAGTCTGCGGCCGGCTAGGGGGGTTTTTTTGGGACACCCTGTAGAGTGATTTGGGAAACATTTAATTTTAAATTTTCGATTTTCAAAAATAAAATTTTTCCCAAATGGTTTTTGCTAGCCTGCTCAGCGCTATTTTAAAGCTAGGAAAAAACGAAAATTTATATAAAAAGCGCAGAAGCAGTGAAAAATTAACTCATCCAGTAAAAAAGCCACCCTAACATAATCTTGAAACATTATTTTCGGATACCTTTAAAATTAACAAGTCTTGTAAAGTTAAAATGCATAAAAGATAATACAAATATTAAAAATTACCCAAGATACAAAATCGGTCATCAGAATGACTCTGGGTCCCCATTTACTCTCTCCTTCATTGACGAGACTCCCATAGGCCCTCACCACCAAATCCTCCGTATGCCGCTCTTCCGTATCGTTCACAACTTCTAAAATTAAAAATTAACAATAAAAAATAAAATAATTCGCTAAAAAATTTAAAATTTTGGTTCTTTTCGTTTAGCGGAGGGGGAACAAATTTTCTCAGTAATTCCATACAGCCATAACTAAATAAACTTTAAATTATATTATACTATGTTATTTATTATTTATTGAGTTTATAGAATTTTCCACAGCTTCTAGATATAGAAAGTTTATAAAAAGCGCAAAGAAAAATCTTCGAAGATTTTTTTTGTTCTTTGCCAACAAGCTAAAAATTTTTAAGTTTCCTTGATTTTTTGTGACTTTTCGGCAATCAAAAACTATTAAAAACCTTATAAAATTACACTAAATATTATTTATAGGGGAGTTGTGGAAAAATAAAAATATCTCCTCCCCTTTAAACGAGAAGAACCATTCGGAAACCTCATAAAAAATGCGAAAAAATCAATGTTTCCCAAAAATACGACGAACTCGAAATGAAGACAGTATTAATGGCGTACCGATAAAGACACAACAAAAATTACAAACTAAAATAAGGGATAATTGAAAATTAAAATATCCGAATTATAAAACTATTAATCAAAAAGTTTTTTTAAAAAACCGACTCGCCGGAAGGATGATCTCCTCGTGCTTCAGGCCGACGAGAAAGGCTTGGATCTGGAAAATTTGATTTCTAGGGTATTAATTGATTAATTTCATTGAATGGCGTACCGCATATGCGAAATTCCGATTTACAAAACTGATAATAGCACGGAAATTTGTGACACATCATTTTTTAGCAGCATTTTGCACAAAATAAAAATTTATTACTTTTGTTACCTACCGACTCGATGTCGTGGAGCCAGCCACTGTCGGTGTCGTTCACCGCCAAGAATCGGGCCACCAGGTTGAAGCGGCTCTAAAAAAATGGTTAATAAAGGCCGTTAAAACCGCCTTAAAGCGCACGTTGAGGGAGGGGCCGTGTACTCGTCCCAACGTGTACACCCTATGGACGTTGGGACCGCGCGCACTGCCTGCCAGTGCTGTGACAGTCCATTCCCCTCCTTTGCGGCGTGGGGCGCCCCTAGCCCCCTCGCCAGGTTGTAGCTGTGGCTGACTGGTATGCATCCGCGCCTCCCGAGCGGGGGGGCCCGGGTTCGACCCCCGGCCGGGGCGAAAATCTTTGCTTTTTTCCAAAAAAACGTCCCTGAACGTGCCCTTTAAAACCGCCTTAACTCACCAGGCAATCGGCCAGCGGCGTCTCCACAAAATAGAGCGCATTCGAGAATTCGGTTTTGTTCGTATTGTTGGAGAGGGCGAACAGGTAGACGATATGCTCCCAATCGCCACCGTATTCTGATGTCGGGCTCACCTAAATATATATAAAGTGGTTTTTAAAGGGATGGCGACACCAAAATTTACTTCTTACAAAAGTATTTTTTTTAAAAAATATCTTTCGTAAAAATTACCCAAAACAAGATATTTTAGAGATCGAATAGAATCTCCTTTGCTGTTGAAATCAAAAAAAGTGCAAAGCGGATAGGCTGGCAAAGTAACGTTTAGAACAAAAATAATACTCATTTGAAAGGGATGGTGACACATCTTTTACTTCTTGCAGGGGGCATTTTTTCAAAAAAATACGTTTCGCAAAAATTACCCAAATCCGGATATTTTGGAGATCGAATTCAGATGCGGTGGTGCTGTCATTAAATCAAAATGTGCAGAGCGGACAGGCTAGCGAAGAAACATTTCGTACACAAAATATTCTGGATTTTAAAGGGATCGTGACACCAAAATTTGCTCCTTGCAGAGGTAAATTTTATTCAAAACATGTGTTTCGTAAAAATTACCCAATTGGAGAGATTTTAAAGATCGAATCAACCTCTGTGTGTTTTAATTACATAAAAATGTGCAGAGCGGACAGGCTAGCAAAGAAGATTAGAACAAAAATAATTTGAATTTTAAAGGGGTGGGTACACCGAGCTTGACTTGCGTAAAGCCCGTTTTTTTTTGAAAAAATTACCCAAGCCGACGTTTTTCTACATTTTTTGAAAGGATGGTGACATCAAAAAATAATTTTCTCAGACAAAAATTGTCCAGAAAAAATATATTTCGTAAAAATTACCTAAACACAATTTTTTTCCGAGACATTAATCGAAATGTTCGCACAATAAAAAAACGGGCAGGCTAGCAGGGGTTCTTCGAAAGAAAAATCTCTCTGATTTTTTAAGAGATGGTGACACGAAAAATAGTTTTTTAGAGCAAAATTTGTCGAAAAAATTATGTTTCGTAAAAATTACCCAAACCGAAATTTTGTGGTAACGCTAATCTGTGTTGGCGTAATTAAATCCAAACTTCGAAGAGCGGCCAGGCTAGCAGGAGGTCTTTGAGAAATCTTTATCTACGATTTTTAGAGGGCTGGTGACACCAAACCTAACTTCCTCTAGGGAAAAAATGTTCAGGAAAACATATGTTTCCCAAAATTACACTCACCGACATTTTTTTGAAACGCTAATCTCTGTGTGGGTAATTAAACAAAAATAAACGAAAGGGGCAGACTAGCAGTGATTCTTTGAGAACGACTCTGACCCCAAAATAAATATTGAATTGGAAAGGGACCGTGAATTCAAATTTCCCCCGTTTTTTTTCAAAATAATATGTTGCATGAAAGTTACACTTGCGGAACGAAATTGCTAAGCTAATCCCTGCCAGGTCCATGCTTAATAAAAATGCGAAGATAAAGCAGGCCAGCAGAGATTCTTTGAGAGAATGGCTACCGTATGCGCGGTAGTCGTCGCCACGGTCCTCCTTGTTGTGGGCGGGGCCAGCGACGGATACGGGCACGACCAATTGGCGTTGTCGTAACACTGATTCAGGGAAACGTTTCCGCAAGGGGGAATGCAGTGCTGAAAATTGTCTATATAATTTTTGATTAATCGAAAATAATCGTTATATTAAATAATATATTAATGTATTTTAGCGCTATTAAAGAGTATTTTTAATGCATGTTCCAAAGTTAAAAAAATTAGTTCTCGTTTGTTTCAGATGTTTCACAAAATTGCATCGTGACGAGTGGGTTGATCAGGATAATATATCTTTTTCTAGTTCGTTCCTATTGATCTAGTGACTACGCTGAATTACGCATTGCGATATTTTTTAATTAAAAATGACAGGTTGAAGTTCATAAATAAGTTAAAAATTTAAAATAGGATTTTTTTTTTAATTAAAATTGGCGGGGTTTGAGCTAAATAGATCACTCGAAAACTAGTCAAGTTTTTTATAAAAATTAGTTTCAGGAGATATGAAATACCAGCATTTTCCCCCGCGCTTAATTTCTTTGTGATTTTTGTAGTTGTAATTGCTGTAATTTGATCACCCAAAACAAAAAAAGGAAATATAGGAATATATAACATTCGTTAGTGAAAAATCTATAAATAAATGAAATTTAAAATCCACAGAATAAATAAATTCTAATTAAAATAAGCAAGTTTTCAGCTAAATAAATGGCTCCCAAAATTTAACTCAGGATTTTTATAAAAATGAGTTTCCTCACATTTGAAATGTTAACATTTTTTGGTAGGGCTAATATAATGGCTAGGTGCGTTTCCTTCCGAAAAAAGACGGTAATAATAAATTAATTATCATTAATAAAAATTGTATAAACCCACGGCAATCTCGTAGATGCACGAAATGTTGTTCACTTGCAGCAGTTTTGTGGATAAATTGGCATACTGCTTCTCGAAGTCCTCGTTCGGAATGTCTACATGAAAATTTTAGGTCGACCTAAGTCTTAGGAAACTATATGAAATTATATAATGAAATACACATTATAATTAATGTAGAATTTAAAAGAAATTTGATTCTTTATAATAAATTTTTGAGGAAAATGGTTCTCTGGCATTATCGGGGGATTCTCTGTAAAGTCCAGAAATGACTAGTAACTTAATAGGAAGTATTTTCATAAGGTTTTTGTAAAATAGAACCGTGTTTCAGCTAGAAAAACTATCTAAAACCTTCCAAAATGTCTTCAAAAAGTCGGAATTTTTGTTCAAAAACGGCCATTTTCGAAAATGAAAAATTGTATCCGAAGAAAACATAATGGTGCCTCTAACATTAAACATCATAAAAAATGTGTAGTTTTCTGCATTGGTAAAACATTTAAATTTAATGAATAAAATCAGCGAATTTCAACCGGAGAATTTAATTAGAACATTTCTGCGTAGCTACACAATAACTAAGTATTATAAAACCATTTTTAAGAAGTTATGAAACATCTATTTTGTTACGGCCAGAAGCAAAATTACCGGGTCTCCCGAGCAGAATCACCGAAAACGTGATGCAGCCCTCGTCGGGGACGTAGGGGAAATCCTGGAAAAATATGGTAATTTTGTTAATTAATAAAACCCCAGACAATAACTCGTTTAAATTTCGAAAAAATAGGATTAATTCAACGAAAATGGACAATAAATTACTTAACAAAAATTAAAAATTTGCTATGAAATTATTTGAAACAGTAAAATTTACAGACCAAAATTTAAATCGATATATCATTGCCTTATTCAATATTAATGGTAAAACAATTAAAATTACATATAAAAAATATATTAAAATATAATGAGTTAAAATTCCGCCTAAGAATCAATATTTAATGATTTTTAACAGCAAAATTTAAAAATTGAATTGAAATCAATAAAAATACCTTATTCAGCCCGGACTGGTAGTTGAAAAGTCGATTGGTGATCAGCACGACGGTGTTGTAGAGGCACGGCGTGTTCGCCACGTTTTTCAGCTAAAAAAATGGGGGGTACGGTAGGTAAGTAAAGACGACAATTCCGGTGTTAGTTATACAGATTTCAACCCGACACATTAAATTGCTATAACCAAAAATCATGAAATCTTGCAGTGATTTGAAACATTTTTTTTATTGTAACTTCGATCGTCTCAAATAATTTTCTTATTTATCTATAAAATCTACTAATTTTTGCATAAATTAAAATGCATTAACTTCATAAGCCCGGGCCCGAATAACACCACTATTTCTCGATTTGTCAAATTAATCGTTGTAAAATTACTAAATATTATAAGTTTTTTTGAAACATTTCGTTTCGATCTTACTCGCACGGTCTTATAGTGATCCTGTTATTTGAAACGCCCCGAAGCGGTTTTATCACACGCATCTGTCTAAAAACGAGTAAAAGTTCCGTTCTTTTTGCAAAATTGTGTTTCACTTATTTTGGAGATTTAGCAATATTTGCCGGTAATAATGTTCTGATCGTTGCATATTCAATTTATCCGAAAAAATTGTATGCAACGCTGAATATTAAGAACTATTTAAATTGATGTTGATGAAAATATATTGCTGAAAAAATATTTAAATAGCCAAATTTCGCAAAATCTGTTGTCGAGCATCAGCAAATTAGCAAATTATAAAAAATGATGTTTCACAGTCGCGCTAAAATGAGCCGCACTAATTTGCGTATAATTGTTTCTTGTTGGAATTTTTTGGTTAAGATCTATGCTTCATTTATTTTCCTCATTTTATAAAAAATTTCTAGCAACAATTGTGAACCCGTACTATTTTTCAGAAAACTTGGAAAATTTTTATTTTTTTTGTGGAATTATGTTTCGAAAATTTCCAGGTTTTCTGGTAAACCTGGAAAAATAGTTGGCCAGAGGTCGCACCTCGATCAAAAAGGCGTAGCTAAAATTCGCCGACGTCGTCTCGTTCCAGAAATACTGGTCCTGCTGCACGTCATCGTACGGTTGCACCTGAATTCGAAATTAAGGGTCTTAAAATTCATAAAATCAAGTTTCAAGCTTTTAAACGGTTTAAATAACGTGATTTCTACATAGTTAAAATGTTTTCTATGCTCTATAATATTTAAAAAATTCTAAAAAAGCTCAGAAAAATTCTTAAAATATCGAAAATTCGGTTTTTGCTAAAAAATTGAATTTTGCGAATTTTTTGAAGCGTCTAAAAACGCCCCTCCCCCCGCTATCCGAAAAGTACCAAAAAATCGCACCCATTTATCGTAGTCGACCATGGTTGTCGTGAACGTCTCGTCGCAGCCGGCCACCGCGCAGCAGTACTTGACCGTCTCTTCGTTCTGCCCAAAAAATCGGGATAAGGGACCCGTTCCTCAAAGAATCGCTGCTAGCCTGCCTCACTATCTCGCTCTCTCACTCTCTCCCCCTCTCTCTCTCCTCCTCTCTCTCTCCTCTTTCTCTCGCTCTTTCTCTCTCTATCTATCTCTCTCTCGCTGTCTCTCTATCTCTCTCTCTCTCTCATTCTCACCCTCTTTATCTCTCTCTATCTCTCGCACTTACTCCCTCAAAGAATCCCTGCTAGCCTGCCCCGCAAAAACATACCTTATAAAATAGTGGAAATGCAATGACGGCGTATCCAACTTCCACGTCCAGACATTGATCAGCCATTTGGGCGAGGGCCGGCAAAAGTGCCTAAATATGCAGATTTTAAAGGGCTTGGGAAGTTGAAATCCATGGCAGCTATCTCTATTAGCTCTCCAATGATCTCTGCTGGCCTGCCAAATCCTTGCTCAAAATTTTTGAATGTAAAAATGTGTTTCATAAATTTTTAAAAATAAACTTTTTTTCAGCGGAGGGAATTCGACATTGATTCTTTTTTCCGTAAAAATTTCAAAAAATATTTTTCATACATTTTTACAAACCAATTTTTTCTGCGGTTTCAATTGACCATCGAAACCACCGTGCAAAATGCTGTATCACCTTTGGAAATTCGGAAAATTGTGTTTTATTTAAGATTCCAAATTTAGTAGTTGATACTTTTCCTTGAATTCGGTCTATCCGCTTACCCTATCAAATCGGCCACCGCCAAATTCTTTCTCTTTCTTAAACTTTTCAAATTCAAATTTTTATGGGATGTTAAGGTCCGTAAATTGGCAACCTGTCTTTAAAAGTCTTTCGCAACTTTTAAAAATATGTTTCAAAAAAATTCTAACGAAATGGTTTTATGTTTGGTTCAATGCTTGGCTTCTTCTTCTGGTTATGTTGCTTCTTGTAACTTCTTTGTAAAGCTTCTAAAATCCGCTAAAATAGTTTCTTTAAGGTTCGCTAGGTGATATTTTTCCCTTAATTGCGTCTATCCGCTTACCTTATCAAATTCCTCCCGGGTCACATAATCCGGAGAGAGGTCGAGGAGGAAGAGGACTTTACAGTAGTGACCCTAAAGTCAGATTTTTAAAGGGTTTGGCATGGTAGATCTCTGTTTCTCTCTCTCGCTCTCTCTCTCTCGCTCTCTGTCTCTCGCTCTCTCTCTATCTCTCTCTGTCTCTCTCTTTCTCTCGCTCTCTATATCTCTCTCTGACTCTCTCTTTCCGTCGCTCTCACTCTCTCTCTCTCTCTCTCGCTCTCTCTCTATCTATCTCTCTCACTCTCTTTCAGTCTCTCTCTCACTCTCTCACTCTGTCGCTCTCTCTATCTCGCTCTCTCTCTCTCTCTCTCTCACTCTCGCTCTCTCCACCTACGGTAGCATTCCTGGTGGCCGGATTCGGGAAAACATTCCAATTCTCCGTGGTGCACTCGTCTGCCGCATCCGGCGGCGGCATCGTCGAGTTCGGATCGAGCGCTGAGGAGGAATTAATTTTTATAATTGATATTTCCATTAAGTTTTTCATATTTTCGCTTATAAAAATAAATATTTTTGATTTATAATTATTCCATCAGTAAATAGAAAATAATAAATTCCTCAAAAAAAATTTGTTCTTGAAAGGAATTTGAAACATTTCAACGTTTTTTTGAACCATTTCTGCTGCACGAATTCATACTAGTAAAATTTTTAAAAACGCAATTATGAAAGCCAATTTGATCTTAGAAGGTTTTTAATCATAAAGAATAAAAAAAAAAATTCGATCTTGCCGAATTTCTACCTTTTAGAGATATTTGAAACATATTTTCTGTATTGCGCATTGTTTAATTTTTGTTTAACGTATGAATTTTAGGTTTCTCAAGATGACGTCGCAGACCTGGTAAATGATGATTTAAAAAAAATTAAAAATAAAATTAAAAAATTACTTAAAAATTAAACAATAACATTTTTTGAACAGCAAAAAAATTCGAAACATAACATTTGAAAGCGAATTTGAAATTTGAAAGTTTTTTGGATTTATTTTCACCCGCAATTATTCTTAACCCACCACAGTACTCGCCGGCGATGTGCGACGACGCGTTGAGGGCCCAGAAGACGACGAACAGCCCGTAGAACATCATCTGCCGGGCAGCTGAGCCATCGCCACGCATTCGGCTACACCCCCGGGCCGTGCTGGAAATCAACTATAATTCACATAAATCAACCTAAATACCACAATAAATGGAAAAATGGCATACTAAGGGCATTTAAATTCAACAAACAACTTTGAGTCTAAAGGGTCCAGAAGCTTTCAAAATCTCCAGACGAAAAGCCCCGGATTCCAGCGATTTTTAAAAGTTCACCATTGCAAAAATTGTGAACTACTATTACGGCTATTTAAAAAACAAATTTAAATCCAATTATTATTAAAAATATTATATAATATATTATTAAAGCAAGGCCCTCATAAAAAAATGCCCAAAAAATCCCGGCGATCAGAAAATTGCCCGAAAAGCTTGTATTTTTTTGCTAGGCGAGTTCGGTGCTACAATTAATTTAATTATTATAATTTAAATGATCAGATCACGCCAAAAATCGACGACGGGGAAAAAAGACAAAAGATCGGTCAGAAGACCCGAAAATGCAGCCGGATAGCCATTTTTTTCTAGGCACTTCTTTGAAACATCAAATTTTTCAAAAATTCTTCAATATCTAATTTTGTTTTTATGCCACGAATTGATTTCAAAATAGGAAAATTATTTAAATTAGTAAATTAACGAGGCAAATTGGCTAAATCCCGAAGAATGCCCAAAAATCGATACGTTGGTCGGAGCTTATCGGCGGTTTTCAGGTGGGCTTGGCCGGGGGGATGAGCCGCCGAATTACAAGCTCCTTTTTGCACCCAGCAAATCATTTATCAGCTGAGTTGCAAAAAATGTTCAAAAAATAGAACCGGGCAGGCTGGCAGAGATTCTTTGAGGAAATATGAAAAATTGGGCTATTCGCAGGTCGAAATATTTTTCCAAGGGTACAAAATTTTTACTAAAATGTCAGGAAATGTTTCTAAACAATTTTTATTGTTTTAAGCGTAAAAAAACTTCCTGAAAACTAGAAAAAACAAACAAGTATAAATTTTTCGACGAAAGGCTCGATTTTTATGAAAATTCAAAATTTCTTTATGATCCGATCTACAGTAAAAACTATCGCAAATGATCTCTGCTAGCCTGCCCCTCCCCCTCTCTCTCATCCCAAATGATCTCTGCTAGCCTGCCCCCCCCCTCTCTCATCCCAAATGATCTCTGCTAGCCTGCCCCCCTCCCTCTCTCTCATCCCAAATGATCTCTGCTAGCCTGCCCCTCCCCTCTCTCTCATCCCAAATGATCTCTGCTAGGCTGCCCCCTCCCCCTCTCTCATCCCAAATGATCTCTGCTTGCCTGCCCCCTCCCCCTCTCTCTCATCCCAAATGATCTCTGCTAGCCTGCCCCCTCCCCCTCTCTCTCATCCCAAATGATCTCTGCTAGCCTGCCCCCTCCCCCTCTCTCTCATCCCAAATGATCTCTGCTAGCCTGCCCCCTCCCCCTCTCTCTCATCCCAAATGATCTCTGCTAGCCTGCCCCCTCCCCTCTCTCTCATCCCAAATGATCTCTGCTAGCCTGCCCCCTCCCCCTCTCTCTCATCCCAAATGATCTCTGCTAGCCTGCCCCTCCCCCCCTCTCTCTCATCCCAAATGATCTCTGCTAGCCTGCCCCCCCCCTCTCTCTCATCCCAAATGATCTCTGCTAGCCTGCCCCCCCCCCCTCTCTCTCATCCCAAATGATCTCTGCTAGCCTGCCCCCTCCCCCTCTCTCTCATCCAAAATGATCTCTGCTAGCCTGTCCCCCATTAAAGGTACAGTAACACCAAGTGACATCACAGCCACCCAAATTCAGAGGATCAATGCAGCAAAAAGGAGCGTTGTTGTATTGGTTGGGAAGGTGTGAGACGGACGGTGCTCTATTAGGGGTGATAAGGGGCTCTTCGCCGTCTTCTTCATCTTTCTCTACAATGGCTTGTCCCTTCGGTCATTTCATGGCCCTTTATGGCCCATTCCGACACACTACTACCCAATTTGCCACCACCCAGCCACAGTCAGCCCCGTGATAACCGCCGATGTGGGCCCCCCAAAAATGGGTTGAGTTGAGAGGGTTTGGAAATGCCGGGGGACTGGCAGAGATTTTTTGGGGAAACGAGGGGATGAGAGAGAGAGAGAGAGTAAGAGAGAGAGAGAGAAAGAGAGAGGGAGAGAGAGGGAGGAGAGCGATAGAGAGACATAAAGAGAAAGAGAGCGAGAGAGCGAGAGACTTTTTGACCAAAAAAAATTACAAACTTTTCTAAGTTTTTTATATTGCTTTTCTCTCTAAAACCTATGTAAAATGCTATAAAAAATCGTTTATGGTATTTTGTTATAGGGCCGTAAAGAATGACAGGGAAAAATTTGACTGCCCCCCCCCGCTAACAGTCCAGAACCGCGAAAATTTTCTGCTGTTTTCCAACCCCAGAAACATCCATTTTCTGTGAATTTCCGGGCCCGCAAATCGATTTTCAAATTCATTCCCACGCCAAATTGCCGCTCCATAAAATGGGGGCCGATAAATCCCCCCGGACGGCTACGGTATTTTACGGGTGGGAATGGCCATTCAAAATCGTTTCTATAAAAGCCCCAGAATCCCGGACGACTCCACTTTGCGTCGCGCGGCGCGATGCGGCTGCTTACGGTATGTTATCAGCATTTCGTTACCGAAAATTTAATTAATTTTTCAGCCAGAATTAAGCATTTTAAAACGAAATTGACCTGCCAGTTAATAGGCAAAAATAATTAAATTTCGACTGTAATTTTGCGTCATTTGGGTACTGTAGCGTTAGCGGGGGGGAGAGAACCAATTTTACTACGGTATCTTTTCTGATCTTTCTGGTTTTATGCTAAAACGCTAGAAAAAAATTTATATATTAGCGAAAAATACCCCTCCCCCCGCTAACAGAGTAGTACCCAAATTTCTAGCTATCGCCGCTGATCCTATTGATCGTCTACTGTCAGCATGCGGCCACGGCCGAGACGAAAGCGGTCAGTTTCAACGAGCTTTCAATTCCGCAAGAAACTCTGCTAGCGCGCCCTCTCTCTCTCTCTCCTCTCTCTCTCTCTCTCTCTCTCTTGTATCTTTCTTTGCTCTCTCTCTGTGTATCTGTCTCATATCTCTCTTCCCTCTCTCTCTCTCTCTCTCTCTCTCTCTCTCTCTCTCTCTTACTTTCTCTCTCCTCTCTCTCTCTCTCTCTCTCTCTCTCTCTCTCTCTCTGCATTCCTCAAAGAATCTCTGCTGGCCTGCCTTTTCCGCATCTTTCTATTGCATAATGGATTATTACCCACTGATATCGCAGAAAAGCGGCGCGTCCGTGTTGCGTATTGAAACGTATACGCAAGGCGGACGCGTACGTATCGTACCCTGAAAAACATTTGTTTCAGGCCCAGCCGAAGCCTGTGGCCCCAAAAGCAGTGATACCCCGTGCGTGGAGTGAGGTGGGTAAATTTAATTCCCATTCTTGTCATTTTTCTGAGAATAGAAAATTTCGTAAACAATTTTGCCTACTTTCAGCCAATAACCGCCCCGCTGCCTGCACCCGGGAAGATCCCTATCGCCCACGCCAGTGCGCAGGTAAGAATTTAAAGGGACCAGCAAGGCAGGGCTATGGATTTGGGGCTCCCTCAGGACCTGGCGCGGCGCGACACCCAACGCTCGCCCGCTTGGTCACATGAGACACCGCAACTTGTTGCGTGGCGTCTTGCATCGCGCGTTGCGTAGCGCGTCGCGAGTCCCTTTTCGCGTAGCCTCGCGTGTACGACTTGTTGCGCGGCGCGGTGCGTAGCGCGTTGCGTGTCGCGTTCGAGTCCCTTTTCGCGTAGCGTCGCGTGTTGCGTGGCGCGTTCCGTGTCGCGTTGCGAGTCCCTTTTCGCGTAGCGTGGTGTGTTGCGTAGCGCGTCACGTACGAGTCGCATCCTGCAATATGCACCGCGCTGCGTACCAAGTTGGGTGTAGGAGTCGTAGCCCGCGTAGCGTGTCGCCGTGCGTGTCGCGTGGCGTGCCGCATGTGGCGTGGCATTCTCGTTGGTGTCGCGTTGCGTGTCGTGTCGCGTTCCGGGTTGCGTGTCCCGGTGCGCGTATCGCCGTGTTTCGCGCTACGTGCCGCGTTGCTCGCTCGGCTGAGTGTTTGGGTGTCGTGTCGCGTTGCGTTTCGCCTTGGCCGCATCGGGGGTGCTGCGCATGCTGGGTTGCTTCGCGTATGTGCCACGTGCCGCGTTGGCTTGTCGGTCACGTGCGGCGTTGAGACTCGCGGTGCGTGGCGCGCTGTGTGACGTGTTGAGCTCTTGTGCGGTGTTGCGCGTCAACTTGCGTGTCGGTCGCGTGTTGCGTTGCGTACCGCGTTGCGTCGCGTGTCGCGTGGCGTTGCCCTACAACGATTTTTTAAGCTGCACTAATAATTTTTAAGCCAATTTCCGCACCCAGCCCGGCGTCAGGTGGAAAAATTGCCATTGCTCACGCCAGCGTGCAGGTGTGGTTTAGACATTTAAATATGTATGTTAAAATAAAACTTAAAAAATCATTTATTTCTGAAAATCCCGCACTTTCCAGACGATAACCGCCCCGAGACCCGCGCCGGTGATCATCGCCCGGAACTTGGTGGTCGCCAAAAATGTGGGTCCGGCGGTTAACTTGATTTTCCTCAAAGCATCCCTGCTAGCCTGCCTTGCTGGTGCCTTAAACAGCATTTTAGGCGCAGAACGCATCCGCGACGCTCCAGAATACGGTGATCGCCACGCTGCATGGTTGGTGCTCTCTCGCTCCCTCTCGCTCTCTCTCACTCTCTCTCTCTCTCTCTCGCTCACTCTCTCTCACTCACTCTTGCTCTCTCTCTCTCTCTCTGTCTCTCGCTCTTTCTATCTCACTCTCTCTCTCTCTCTCTCTCGCTCTCTCTCGCGCTCTCTCGCTCTCTCTTTCTATCTCACTCTCTCTCTCTCTCTCTCTCTCTCTCTCTATCACTCTCTCTCTCTTTATGTCTCTCTCTGAATCCCTCGTTTCAGCCAACTCCACTTCTTCCGACGACCAAAAATGGGCGGAGCTTCGTGCTTGTGCTAAGCAGCACGGTCTCCTCGATTTTCTGCATAATCACACCCGCCCCGACGGGAATCACGATGGAAATGGATCGTCAGAAGGTTTGTCTTGGAATCCGGAATTTTTGAACGTTTTTTGTTTCGTGTTTTACAGCATTTTTATGTTTTTTCGAGTTTACAGGAGGAATAAAGTGTTTGAAAAAAATAAAGAAAGAGCAGGGAAAAAAAAGTAAGGGTGGAAGCGGCAGAAGTAGCAGGTGGTGGCTTAGGCAGCTTAGGCTTGGCTTAGGCAAGGAGGGCGGAAGAAGGGGGAGGCAGGGAGAGGGGGGGCGAAACTGGCTTAGGTGAGGCGAAGGCTAAGAAGCAGCTAGGTTTGGTAGGTAGGCTTGGCTTAGGCCAGGGAGTTATTAATTTGAAATTAATTTCAACAGATTGCGATGTGCCAAAAATCGGGAAAATTACAAATTTTTGAAACATTTTTTGCGCACTTTTAAGCGCGAAACTTCAACAATTCTTTTGTTCTAATTATCTCTAATTTAGCGCATGCAAAAATCAGTTTTTTGTTATCTATTTTTGTTGGTTATGGGGGGGGGGGAGTGACCTTGGCCCCTCGATCTCCCCCCTCCTTATCAACACGCCATCTAGGGAAGCCCCCTGGTAGCAAAAACGGCAGGTTGTCTGAGTTTTCGTGTTTTTTCTGTGTTTCCTAACTTTAAATTTATTATTATACAAACTACAATTATTTAATGGATTTCAATAAAATTTCAGATTCGTTATTTACTCGTTTTTTTCGGTCATTTTTGCGTTAAATCCAAGAAATGACCGTCAACGATTTTCTCGCCGGATCGGTGGCCGGTGGGTTTTTTAATAGATTATAATTTAATTGCGCCGCAATGCCGCAATTGTTTATAGATTTAAGGGGGCAGGCTAGCAGGGATTCTTTAAAGAATTCTTGGAGATGGAGAGCGAGAGAGAGAGAGAGAGAGAGAGAGAGAGAGAGAGAGAAAAGAGAGGGAAAGAGAGAAGAGAGAGGAGAGAGAGAAAGATAGATAGAGAGAGGGCAATCTAGCAGCGATTCTTTGCGGATCCGCTCAATGATGATTTCAGGCGCTGCCGGGATCTTCTTCGGGTACCCGTTGGATACCGTAAAAACACGACTGCAGACCAGCTCCAGCTATTCGGGCATAATTCAATGTGTGGGGAAAGTGCTGAAAACGGAGGGGGTTTGTCTCTTATCATCAATAACTACAACTACAAACCCCAAAAAAGGCCGCAAAAATTTGTTTTTTTAGAAAGATATGTTTCAAATTATTTCCAACTTAATTATTTTTATACTGCATCCTTTTTATCGGGCTCCTTTAGCAACTAAAACATTTTAAATTACAAATGATTTGGAAAGACATTTAAATTATAAATTTCATTCATTAAAGAATTTTAAATTACAACTGATTTGGAAAAAATTCATGATTCTGAAAAAAATATGTTTCAAATTATTTCCAATACAATCATTTATTTTATGCAGCAATTCTATGAATCGTGCATTCGCAGCTAAAAATTTTAAATTTCAATTGTTTTGAAAATTAATACGTTTTTTATATTATTTTCGTATGTTCATAAGTATCTATAATCGTTTTTCTTTTTTTTCTCTTGAGTTCAAATCGACAATTTTTTACTGCCGTAATCGGTTCACCATAATGGTTTTGAACCAAATAACTTTTAAAATATTATTAGGGTATTTTCATACATTTATATTTTATTTCTTATCTGAAAAATTAAGCATTAAACAACCAAATAAAACAAAAATTTTGTATTTTTATTTTAGGGTGCATTTTGATTTTTATGAATTTATTTTTTAGGTGCTAGGAATGTACAAGGGGGTGACGGCGCCGTGTCTTTTTGCCGGCATCCAGCACTCGCTTCTCTTTGCCGGGTAAGCTAATTAAATTGGTTATAATTTTAGTAAATCCGTAAGGTAAAGTGAGCTCGAAATCTTTATAATATAAAACTCTAAATAATAATAATAAGAAGAAGAAGAAAATCTAAGGAAAGACCTTCCATATATTCAGAGTTTCGGGATCGTTAACGGGGGAAGCTAATTTTTATTCGTCGCCCGTTAATAAATACCGTACACCTCCTTGAAATTTAGAGCGAAAACCGTAAAAACTTCGGTATCCTCAATTTCATGATTTTGAAAGTAACCCAATTTTTTTAGCTATGCCACGACGCTCCATCTGATGCATCCGGGAGAGGCACACGTCGAAGCGCGCAAGGATTTGCCACTCGCCGGGTACTATCTTTTCAAGGTTTTTGATTTGGTATTTGGTAACCATCTTTTGGCAACTCTACAAGAACAGCAACAAGTTTCCAGCCCCGCGTCACGCGCGTGCGCGTTGCGTAGCGCCATTGACGCGGAAAATCCGGTGAAAATCCCCCCTTTTTCAGGTAATGTTCAGCCTCGTTCATCGGCTCCATCCCGCAGCTAGACTCCGTCGATACCAGTGGAAGCTGTGAGAAGACAAGGCTTCGGGTATTGGCTTTGCCGGAGCTTGGAGGCTTGGCTTAGGCTTGGCTTTGGAAACTTGGCAGGCTTAGCAGGCTTGGCTTAGGCTTGGCTGTAGGCTTGGCTTAGGCTTGGCACCGGCAGGGCTTAGGCGGCTTGGCAAGCAGCAGGCTTGGCAGGCTTGGCTCGAGGCTTGGGCTTGGCAGGCTTGGCGGAAGCGGCTTGGAAGCAGCTTGGAAGCAGCTTAGGCTTGGCTTAGGCTTAGCTTCGGTTAGCTTCAGTTTTGGCTTCGGTTTGGCTTCGGTTTTGGCTTCGGTTTGGCTTCAGTTTGGCTTCGGTTTGGCTTCGGTTTGGCTTCGGTTTGGCTTCAGTTTGGCTTCAGTTTAGCTTCGGTTTTGGCTTCGGTTTGGCTTCGGTTTGGCTTCGGTTTGGCTGGTTTGGCTTCGGTTTGGCTTCGGTTTAGCTTCGGTTTGGCTTCGGTTTGGCTTCGGTTTGGCTTCGGTTTGGCTTCGGTTTGGCTTCGGTTTGGCTTCGGTTTGGCTTCGGTTTGGCTTCGGTTTGGCTTCGGTTTGGCTTCGGTTTGGCTAAGGCTTGGCGTAGGCTTGAAACACGAATTTTTCAGTTTCAAACGGAGGGCTACGCGTCCGCCTCGGCCCACTTTCACGGCCCGTGGGATTGCGCACGTAAAATGTGGAAAGCCGAGGGCATTCGCGCCGTTTATCGGGTGAATTTTTTATGTTTTAGCCGATTTATCGATGGCTGAAGAGAGATATCAACAGGCTCGACGTGAATTCTAGAATTTTTTTGACCGTTAAGGCTTAGAATTTTTGAGCATTTTTGGTTTTTATTTGAGTGGGGAAGTTTTTAATGGCCTCCAATGAACCTTAATTTGTGTTATTGTTAAAATTATATCATTACGATTATTATTTTTATCAGCATGATTATGATCAATTTTATAGGGCGATGATGGCCGGATAAGGGATTGTTTTCGGCAACCCTGTTCTACCTACCCGTCTACGAGACGCTACATCGATTTTTGAAGAAGTCGGGAGGCCGAACACGACGGCCGCGCAGGTATTTAGATACCTCGGAATACATAGTGAAAATTAATTAAGAAATAAAAAGTTTAATTAGGTAAATTGAATTAATTTTAAATTAACAAGTTTCAAATTTCAATTGAAATTTCTGTAAAAAAACGACAAATTTTTGCTACCTTCCAAAGAAAAAAAATCGTGAAACCGGGATTAAAAAATTTTTTGATCCGATTTTGAAACACACTTTTTTTCCAAATTTCTCATTTAATGCCTAAAATTTTTTAAAGCATGTTTTAGTTGATAGCCGGAGGTTGTGCCGGTTCGGTTAAAGTTGGCTGAGTATCTGCCCCTGGAAGTGATCAAGAGTCCGGATACAAATGCCGGACACGCCCAGGTCTCTCTCTCTCTCTCTCTCTCTCTCTCTCTCTCTCTCTCTCTCTCTCTCTCTCTCTCTCTCCTCTCTCTCTCTCTTTCTCTCTCTCTCTGTCTCTCTCTGTCTACTATCGCGTTGTCCGCGCTCTCCTCTCTCTCTCTCTCTCTCCCTCTCTACCTCTCCCCACCTCTCTCCTCCCTCTCTCTCTCTCTCTCTCTCTCTCTCCTCTCTCTCCTCCAGGGATCTCTGCTAGCCTGCATCCTACCAAATTTCAGATCAACGCTAGCCGTCGGTCGCGAAATCCTGGCCGCCGAGGGCTGGCGAGCATTTTATAAAGGTTTTTTCTTTTCCACAGTCAAAATCGGTCTTTAAAAAATTAATTCCAATTAATTCATTTAATTCCAATTCCATTTCATAATAATAAGCCTTCCAATTAAGTTAACATTTTTTTAAACGAAAAAAATCCTATTTTCAGGTGGCCTGTCGATGGTGCTGCGCGGATTCCCGGTGAACGCCATCATTTTCCTCGTCTACGAGCAGTGTCTGCTTTTCATGGAAAGGGGTAAAAATTGTAATATTAAATAGATTGAATCATAATTTTATTTTTAAATTAAATTGTGATTAAATTATCGATTTTAAGATTAAATTAATTCTAGCACCAGCAAAAGTACAGTCATTTCAGAAATTATTGTACTCTACTTGTTCGAATCGGTGTTTTTCAGATAATACCAGCCAGTTGCAGCTTCCCGGGGAAGGCTACTCGCTTACGCAATGAAAAATATGAAAATCGTCAAAAACGGGTCTTAGGATTTTACAGAGTGAATAAAGAATATTCATATCCCGGTTGCGCAAAAACCAAACCAAGAGAGTGAGAGAGCGAAACTGAGAGAGAGAGAGAGAGAGAGAGAGCGTGAGAGAGAGCGAGAGAAAGAGGGAGAGAGAGCTAGCGAGAGAGACAAAGCTAGAGAGTGAGAGAAAGCGAGAGAGAGCGAGTATTTGAATTTCACAACGGGCCAGAGACAAATTATCATACTCAATGTCAAGGCTTACTACTAATAAAAAGTAGAAACATCGAATGTTCAAAAACACAAAAATTTTTGAATTTACAGAATTTGACGAATGTGCATATAATTAATTTTAAAACGCTCAAGGAAAATAATAATAATACAAAATATTCTTAACGGCATATGTTAACGGTAGGCGGTGCATATGCCTTCCCCCCCCCCCCCGCTAACAGTCAAGTACCAATCCGCCTTTTTAAATGGCTTGCGAATGGCGGAATGATCTTTTTTCTTTTTTTTTGCTCTACCAACTCCGCGTATTATTGTTGCTAGACTGATTTCGGCCAACATTTTTGCTGAAACATATTTTTCCTACTACCCTAAATAGGTGCCACTCGGATCATTAATTTTTGGTCATTTCGCTGGTTTTTTTCCGGGAACACCGCCCAATTATGTGGTGGGCAATAAATAAAATTACCCGATGCGTACGTGTGGAAAGTTGCGGAATCCTCCTCCTAGACGTCCAATTTTACGTCACTTTTCTGCAAAGCTGTGTCGACAAAAACTAACTTACAACTTGCTCCATTCAGGTATTTTCCCAATTTTTCAAAAATCTACAAAGTACATCTCCAAATAGCAATCAATGGTTCTACTTTTTTGGCAAAAACGCGAATTGGAATTATCAATCAACCATTAAAAAATATAAACCCTGGCATGTTTCATGAAATTCCGTAGTTTTTCATGAATTCGAAGTTGTAATAATGTGTCGAATCGAGGCCGCGGATACTAAATTCAAACCAATCCTGAACAAATTCTAAGTCCAGCTTCCGCTCGCCAGATTCCGACCTTGGCTTGACAAATCCTCGGGGTGATAGATTAATTTTTTGGGAGCCAATTTGAGTAGGGATTCTCAAGAAGGCGGGGCGGATTAAGATTGGTCTTTTCTAGCTTTCCCAAATGCTCTTTGCTAGCCTGCCAAAATGCCATGTTTGTATTGCCCTAATTATTGATTCAAATCAGACCATCGGAAATGAAACATCGTTGTTGGGCTAAAATGTGAGTTGCCGCTGGCAATTGGTAATTTCTTAAAGATAAAAAATCGCGATTTAAAAGCCTCTTTCCCCAAATGGTCTCGGCAAAAGCACACATTTTTTAAAAATAATTTTCTAGGAAAATACCATTTGAAAAATGCCGAAAGTCGAGAAAATTCGTGGAGAATAAATTCTTATAATTCGAGAAATTCCTACGAATCGAATAAAAATTAGTTTACGAGCATTTAACTAGGTTAATAATAAATTACTGAAGTGTAATTATATTTCGAGTGGAAAACCCAGCAGGAAAAAACCCAAGCAAAACATTTTTGTCGAAGTTTTGGTCGAAAATCGGTCATTTTTTATCGAAAAATCGATATTTTTTATATTTTTTAAGGAAACTTCAAAAGTTTTTAGATTCAGAAACAGTAAAAAACAGTTTAGAAACACTTGCTGTACTCATATCAGAGATTCGGATTCTTTGAAAAATCCCCCCCGATAATGCCAAAGGACCTTCGAGGTTTTATGACGGCAGGCTAGCAGAGATCATTTGGGATGAGAGAGGGAGATTTGAACGGCTTCTCCCCCGGAAATAACTATAATATAGCTAGCTGCGGGGGCCCCCCGGCCCCCGGCAGCTATTTAATTAAAATTATGGGGAATCCCATTTTCGGGGGAATGGGCGGAAGGGTGCATCTCCCCCAAAATCTTTTTATTCATTAATCGGGTTCGGGGAGAGCCCGAACTTTCCCCTTTCCGTCTTTTCTCCGGAAATGTTTACTCAGGCTTAGGTTTCCGATTCCTTCGATCTCTGGCCAGGGGGGCCATTCCTTCGTCATCCCGGAACCAGCGCAATCAAGCTACATTTGAGGAATCACTGCCAGCCTGCCCGCTCAATGCGTTCTCTCTCTCTCACTCTCTCTCTATCCCTCTCTCACTTTCTATCTCTCTCTCACTCTCTCTCTCTATCTCTCTCTCACTCTCTATCTCTCTCTCACTCTCTATCTCTCTCACCTCCCCCCCCCCCCCCCCCCCCTCTCCTCTCTCTCTCTCTCTCTCTCTCTCTCCCTCTCTCTCTACTCTCTCTCTCTATCTCTCTCTCTCTCTCTCTCTCTCTCTCTCTCTCTCTCTCTCTCTCTCTCTCTCTCTCTCTCTCTCTCTCTTGCTTCATTCTTTTCTCTCTTGGTCTGCCATTGATTGCTTTGGTTAAAAAATGTTGCAAAAAAGACCAAACTCCCGGTCCAAAACTATTGGTCAATGCCGTGTCCAATTCTGCACCTGGAATTTCCCCAAATGATCTCTGCTAGCTCGCTGCACTATGCATTCATGCGGTTCTTTGGCATTATCCGGGGATTTGCCCGTTGTCAGGCGTTCTCGGATTCATAATAGAAATTTGATAATGTTTTTATCTTACGCGTTTAGACGCTTTTTAGACATAAAAATTATATGCCTATTTTATTAAAGAATGCCAGATATTAAAAAGTTCGGTTTATTGGCATAAATAAATAAACGTCTTTTTAAATACAAAAAATAGGTAATAAAAATTTCAAAATTCAAAAATTCAACTTTTTTAGAATGGTTTGAAGTCTTCAAATTCCGCCAGAAAGTGCTAAAAAAATTACTATTAAATTTCCCATTTTTTGGCAGCATTTCTTTTTTTCTTTTACATCCCTGGGCATCCCGGAATTTTTAGGAAAATTCACTACCCGCTCCCCCCGGATAATGCACAAGAACCAGGAGGTCTGTCAATTTTACCGATTGAATGTTTCAACAAAGTTCCATCCTCCAGCTGAAAAATTGTTAATTAATGGATTCTCCCGTAACATTTTTCTGAATTTCCCGAATGATTTTCGCTAACCTGCGCAACGCTTCGAAGTATTTGATTAAAAAATCTCTCTTTTTCTCTCTCTCTCACTCTTTCTCTCGCTCCCTTTCTCACTCTCTCTCTCTCTCTCTCTCTCTCTCTCCTCTCCTCTCTCTCTCTCTCTCTCTCTCTCTCTCTCTCTCTATCTCTCTCTCTCTCTCTATCTCTCTCTCTATGACAAAAAATGTTTCAAAAAGGACCAATCTCCAAGGCCAAAACTCTTGAGCAATCTATGTCTGTCAGTACCTTTTTTCTGCATTCCTCAAAGAATCCCCGCTAGCTTGCCTATGTCAATGTTTTCCTCTCGATACCTAATTCCGTGGGTGAGAATGTAGTTTCATTGTTGATTCAGGAAATGCAGGAAATGGCCCCCGAGCCGGCCACACGGCCAAAAAAGAAACCCGTCGAAAATCGCTCCCCCTCGCCCTTAATTGAAAATAGTCGACGCAATCGCCAAAGCGCGTCGAATTGAGAACTTATTCTACGGCAGGAACGTTTTATTTGGCGGCAGACTGGCAGAGATCATTGGGGAAATTCACGGCATTTTTTGCGTATTTTGCGTATTTTTTTTGGGAAGATGACACCAAGCCATTAGCAAATCATTTTTGCCCGCAGGATTACATTTTGTTGTAACACGGTTTTTTTCATCACAGCTCTAGCCTTTTTTTTTGGATCTATAAAAATTTTTGAAACCTAATTTTTTCAAAAATTTCCCGCTACTTAAATCAGTTTTATAGCATCAGAATACGATAATACAGCAGAATTTACCAAATGATCTCTGCTGGCCTGCCTTGCCAGTTCCTTTAAAGGCCATTTCCACCCCATTGCTGGGCGACCGGAGGGTCGAAAAAGCGTATACCCCACCCCCAACTAGCGATTTCACGCCTAAATGGGCCTGGAAGTCGAAAACATGGGTCTCGATGGCATTTTACCAGTTTTCGGGGGGGCGAAATAACTTTTCCCAAATGATTTCTGCTAGCCGTTTGCCTCTTCCAAGTGCATCTTTCACATTATTCAATTTCTGGAGCGACTTAAGCACTGAGATTGTGAAACGTTTTTTTGGTTGCCTCTACCAAATCTCTACCAAATTTCCCCAAACGGCCTCTGCTAACTTGCCTCTTCGGAATGGCTTTCCTTAAATAGTATTGCTAAAAAAAACGAGTTTTGTTACAACGGTGTGCCATTGGTTATTGGCCATTGGTTATTGTTCTATCTCGGTTCCACGCAAAAAAGTCCTGAGATGAAACATGTTTCTAGCTGTGTGGAATGCTATAAAAATTGTTTTTATTTCGTTAACGGGCCGTTCAGGGTTACAGAAAAATGGGCTCCCCCGCTAACAGTCCAGTTCCCTGAAAATCGTTTCCCTCGCAAATGGTCTCTGCTAGCTTGCCACTTCGAAACGGCTGTATTTAAATAGAATTCATGAAAATCAAATGAATTTTAGCAGAGCAGGAATCTCGGGATCATTGCTAGACCTTTGTTTCACGTGAAATAGACTTCAGGTGAAACATTTGTTTTGTTTTTCACCAAAAAATCAACAAAAAATTTGTTTTTCCGCACATGGTCCCTGCTGGCTTGCCCCAGTTCAGTAATTTAAATTTAACTTCAAAAAAGGTTTTAGAGAATTGCTTAAATGGTCTCTGCTAGTGTGGCATTTTTATTGCCCTCATTTGCTGGACCGAATTATACCGTTTATTCCACGACTCACAAGCGTTGAAAATGAAACATCTTCAACGGAAAATCAAATTTTTGTTTTCCGTGAATTCATTTAATGGTAGAAACGCTATTTAAATCATTTTTTGTAGTTTTTCATTGCCAGACAATTCTCAAAATTTTCAAAAATGTAGAAAATTTGAAAATTTCGAGAATTTTCGAT